GGCTCCTACTCCGTGTGGGACTGACTGACTTCCTTGCTTAGCGTCTCCTCGATCCATAGGCTGGCAACGGCAGGTTGCCCCCTCCTGAACTATAAGTTCCTCGAAGGCAATGTCTCTTTCATGTTTCTTCCCAGACTTTGCCTTGCAGCTCATGGTAGAAGAAAAAACCCTTTGAATGAAGAATGGACTCCAAATAGAGGCCAACCTGAGAGGAAATTACCGTGGATATCATGATAGCGGAATGCATCAAGGTCACAGCAGGGGCCTAATGCAGAGATAGCTCTGTTCTTCGGTAAATCTCATAAGCCCGAGTCTGGAGTAGTAAACAAGTCATGTGGGTATCCGTTATAGTGTGGCCCGACTTTCTCAGAGACAGCCCTGCATTGGCTAACTTCCTTAGCAGTTTGTGAAAATGGAACCTCATGGAACAATTTCTTTTTCCCCCAAAGTGGGCACTGGCCCTAGCTTTCCTTGTCAGAGTACGCTTCCTGGTCGGGTAATGCGCCCTATGCTCTAGCCAGTAGGCAACCCTGTGCTCCGAAGCCATTAGAGGCCAGTCTGAAATACTAAGCAGTAGCTGAGACCAGAGTTCTGAGACCTGGAGCAAAACAGCTGAGATGTGCACAGCTCGCATCTTCCTGGCTCCCGGTGTTTTATGCTCCACCATCGAACGTGTATTTCAGACACCTGAGCTGTCCTACTTTCATAGCCAAACCCAGGAACAATTAATTGGAGACAGGAAAGTAATTCAGGACAGTACTTTCCATACACATGGTTTGAGTCAAAGCCACAATGACAACCTGTATACCAAAGAGCAGGGGTTATTTTGACAGCAAAATGTTGTATTCAATCAAACAATCAATTAAAACAATGAAACAAAGAAACCCCTCCTCCTTCAGATTACCTTTTAATTTTAGATGAAAAAGCCCCAGGCAGTAAGAAAAAAAATGACCCACGCACTAAGAAGATTGGATATTTAATTCAGAGAGGGAAATGCCTAGGTAATATTAAGCTGTCATGGTAAAAAGCAAGTCCTGGCCATTCTGCTTCCCCAGTACTATCTAAACTTGTAAAAATACCCAGAGAGGCAGAAAGGAGGCCTAAATTTAGACCCACATTTAATGCATTCAAGAGCATGATTCATTTCTCTCCTGTCTTGGTACAGCCTGAGGAATCTGAATACACAGCAGAACACCCTGTAAGGAAGACGCAGCCCCCATGCAGCCAGAGGCTGGAGCATGCGGAGACACCCTGTCACCTCTGCTAACACAGGTGCACTTCCAAAGTCCCCGCCCACCCAGCCAGATCTCTGAGCGCAGGAAAAACCATTCAAGTTTAATTTCACTGCAGCCTTGGTGTGGGTACTGCTGGGAATTTATGTATTTTGTTGTTGTTCTGCTTTTGAAATGGGTTTCCTCCCAAGCACCTGTGGGGGCCTGGCTAGCCCTCACAGGCCACGCAGTATGGGTCACCCTAATGAGACTGCCCAGAAGAATGTTGTAGTTTGGTATTGAGGTAGTTAATGGAATGAAATGAATTATTTTGTGACCCTGGGTATTAAACTCAGAGCATCCTGTGGTCAAGGCAAATGCTCTACCATTGAGTTATAGACTCCGGGCAATGTTGGTACATTTAAGAACCCAGACTCCAAGTCACTATCGTAGCCCTTAGCTGGGCTTAGCAAGGTAATATACGTAGCATGAGTACTTAATGTCAAATACAGGTTATCTGAACAACAGCAGCAGCAGCAACAACAACAGTAACAACCAAGTAAAGTAAAACCCAAATAGCAACCGACCAACTAACTAGCCAACAGCAGCAAGTTCAGGTCACATAAATCAGATCGGCATGAGGCCCAACCTCCACGATGAAAACGGCTGCTGTCTCTTCTTCATTTTCACCATCTTCTACTTCTAACCACATCCTTGCACGCCCCGATCCCAAGCCAGCAGCCAAACCCTAGGCTCTCGGGTAATTTAGACTAAGCTTGGTCTGTCGTTTGTGTCAGTCCACGATGACTTAGAAGGCAAATGAACTTGTTATTTTGTGAATTTTAAAAATGAGATTCCAATTGTTTTTTCCCTCAAGTTTTTAAGCACATTTGGAAAGTAACCTCACAGGTGTCATCCCGTGGTCTTTGGATTTTTTAGGTTAATTTCTGTCTAAAACAACAGGAACATAGGTGAAATATATACCCAAAATACCACAGTTAGGGAACACTGCCTCCCAGAAGTGAGGGCATTCTAGCTGTCCTCCATTCTGAGGTGTGACGTTGATACGAGTCACCTATTCTGAAGGTCCCATTGCATATTCACACCGATCAGTCCCAGTTCAGAAAGAGATCATTTCCTCCCCCACCCCCCCCACATGAAATGGGTCCAGCAACGGAGAAGTCAAAACATCCAGAGCTAGATATGGAGCGCGTGCATCAAGTTAGGAATGAGTTATCTGAGGTGCGTGGGAATGAGAAGCATTGGGAAAGGGCCACACGGGGCACACCCACGGAGCACATCCACAGTGGGGGCTTGGTAGACCACGGGAGGGCAGCGGGTCCGGGTGGGTATGAGATCCTATCAGCCTGAATACATGCTGCACACGCCAACCTGCACACGGCACAGAGAGGAGGCCACAGACTGGAGGGCAGCGGGGATGATTTGAATGATTTGTGCCTTTCTCAAATAGTTTGGTGCTGGTTCTCCTGGGCAGTTCTGAAGGGTGGAGGCAGGCATCCCATCTCCACCGGACCCACCTTGTGCCATGGTATAGGCATTTGAGTCATTAATAGGAGACTGATGTCCGGTGACCTTGGCCGAATGTTATTTGAGGTTTGAGGACAGTTGTCTAAATCCATTTGAGAAAGGACGAATCCTGTTTAGCAACTCTAGACAGAAAACTGGCTGATTTAGCTTAGAACAGTCTGCCATTGCGGCCAACTTCAGAAGTTCACAGAAGAGGGCAGGGTCTCAAGAAGGTTGCATTCACCTAAGGCTGGGTTGGTTCTATTTTGGGATTTGGGGTCAAGATTTATCCTCACACACATAAAGCACCACAGATCTAATTCCCAGAGTGGGGGGAATTTGTCCGTTTTCACACAAAACACCTCCATTCTGTCTTTGGGGGTGGTGAGGAGATCTCAAGTTCTAAACTATAATCAGCCCTTCTTTTAGAACAGCGATACTAAATCCTTGTGTTCAGCGGATGGTAGTGTTTGTTGCACTAGGCTGGGTTCATAGTACAACATCAATAAATGGCCACGTGTAGAGGGACAGACAGAATCCCATTTGTAAAACCCATCCCCACCTCCCCTTCCTTTTCCTCTCCCCCTTTCTTCCACACCACATTGTTCAAATGCCCATGTGGACTTCCTCTCGTTCTTGGAGAAAAAGGGACAATTTGAAGAGGCAAAATAATGTAACAAAGTGGAAAAGCAATTTCCGTCTGTGTGTGTGTGTGTGTGTGTGTGTGTGTGTGTGTGTGTGTAATAGCCTTGTCTCCGAGGAGTATCGGCATAGCAAGCTTTTAAAGTGTTGTTTGGCCTGGAGGGACCATTTGAAAGGATGCTCTCTACAGGAAATTCCTGTCCCTGGGAAACTGCCTTCTTCTGTCAGCCAGAGATACCGTAACTGGAGGATGGAGCTAAAATTCTTCCTTCGTGAGTTGGCTATGTCTTATGGAACAGATATTTGTTCCAATTAGGTGTTCCAAAAAGTCGCGCTTGCCTCAGAGCCTCAGATAACGTGTTTTGAGAAGGAAAGCATATTTGTTCAGAATCTATCGTGGAGGGGAAAATGACGTGTAACTGTGTTCTGTTGCCAGGATACCCACGCTCTTCACAGGCCAGAGGACTTGCAAGCTCAGACGTCTTTTGTCCTTGTATGCCTAGGCTCCATCCCACCTGGGATGAGGAGGGAGAGCGGGTGCTGACGAGACTCTACTCCCTCTCTTAGTAAGCTATGTGGTTACCTGACCCTAATCCGTGTTCACAGTCCAGGGCTCACATGGCTGACCTGTCAGCAAAAAATAAATGTCTGAAAAAAATGTGAATTCAACAGTGTTGGAGGGTTGTTATTTTCAGAGTTGAACTCCTCAGGGAAAATGAGAAGGAGCTGCTGCTGGGATTCAGCTCCACACTGAAACATGCTTCTCCCCTGATGCTTTCTTCCCCAAGTCATTTCCTGATGCCTGGTGTGCTCTGACATTTGGTCCAAATAAAACCCTGGAACAGACTCAGGACTACAGCTGCCCCCAACTCCACACAAAAGGAGTTTTTTTTTTTTTTTTGCAGAGACTCCGTATCTAGTAGACTGACGGTATGGGGGCTGTTGCCTCTTGGTTCACGCTAGATCACTTTAGGGTATAGATACCCCCCACCTCAGCATCTACAGCCAACAACTTGGTCTATGACCTATAGGCATTTTCCAGACTTCTTGGTAATGAATTCTGGCTTCATCTGTGTCTCAATAGCTCTTAACAATGAGAAAGACTGTTGGGGAATAGCTTTTAGCATGAAAAAAATACCATACAGATGTTTGCCCTTAATCTTGAATTCTAATGATGAAATTGAGAATTGTTTATTTGTTTTAAAGTCAAACCTTAGGAATTTGTTTTCTAAAGCCTAGCAAGGTGAGGGTTAAGGTAGGAGTGGGTAGTTTTGACATAATATATTCCCAGTGATGAAATATAAAAAAAACCCTTGCCCCAAGAGTTTGAGTTATACACAAACTTATATCATTTAAAGTGGTTCAGTTTTTGTATCAACTTTGGTCTACTAGATGTCCATTTGTATTACAGGAAGGACATACCTGAAGAAAGAGTTGATGGCTATTTTGCTAAGGTATTATATTCACCTCCAGCGATTGTTTCCACCACAATAGCAAACTAGGAATCGGCCCTCTATCTTGAGCCATTTATTGAGGACAAACGAATGGACTTGGAAAAGACGTGACTCAATCAAAGTTAAATACCTGACTTTGGTGTATGAGAATCATAAACTTGCTTACGGTCTATCTGGTCTGCAAACACTTCCCCATAAATCATCCAATACGGCATGTAGAAGATATTCTTGGCCAGTTTCCAAGATGGCTCCTCATTGGGAAAGAGGATGGCTTGTCTGGCGACCCCAAAGCTCATCAGCACCACCAGCATAATGATGACAAAGTACATCATGTCTATCATCTGGAAGGGCGGAGAAGGAGAAATAAGAGAAAAGCCACGTGATTGAGGGTGCCTGTGAATGCTGACATTGAAGGAGTCCCCAGCTAAGAGGACAACTGGACTATGGAAGCTGATGTCTCCATGCTGAATACTGATGTCAGTTGCTAATTTTTTTTTACAAGTGCACACATAATTGAGCCCCTTCATTTTTATGGACGTCTATGAAATATATTTACATTTAGACACAAAAGGGCTAATCCTCAGAATATGGGTTCTTCACGTGCTTCCAGCACCATTTTTTTAAAAAGTGTTATTAGAGAAGGCAAGTCATTTGTTTGGTTTCTTTCTTCTTAGAAAAATTAGAATTAGGATAATTGGGCTATTTTAGGAACAAGTGCAGAGCAGCATATTCCTACTCTTAGTTTGAAGAGGCTAGCATGACTCGGGAAGCTCAAGAAAATGCAGGGTTACAAATAGACCCAGGGCGGGAGGGCAAATGGGAGCTCCATCGCATGGCTGGATTCTCTGCCATGGATCTGTCTCACCAAATCATCCAGTTTCTGTTTCTCCTGTAGGGTATCTTATTATTGGAGGGGGTGGGGTCTTTTCACTGGTCTTTAAGCTATGTAGCTTCATGACTGAGACCAGTGCCTGTTGACATGACGGATTTCCTCCCTGGCGTGAAGGCAATTTCTCCTGACTGAAGCCCACCACCTTCACTCTTCCCACCTTTTCTTCTCCATCCCCTCGCTTGCTTCAATGCTATGTGACTAGGCATCTGTTTTTCCCCTGCCCAATTGCTCTCTTATCAACACTGAACAAAGAGTGGTGATTCTAAGTGGCTCCAAACCCACAACTTCTTTCTTTAAGAGAGAGTTCCGATGCATCTGCCTGAAAGATGGCTGTGCTGTCCAAGCTAGGCTAGCTGTGGGCCCTCATTCCATGGAAGCCATGGTGAGGTAGGCGTGTAACACAAGACAGGACTATCAGAATCTTCAGAACCCTTTTTGTTTGTTTGGAGACAGGTCTCTGTATGAGCCCAAAGTATCTTAGAACTCACTGCGTAGATGAGGTTAGCCTGCAACTTCATGCTCTGCCTGCTTCTGCCTCCAGGGTGCTGAGATTACATAGCCTGTTCTACCATCTCTTTAAAATAGAAGTAGAGAGAGAAGTTCCCTTTCATTCTTCATAATGTTCATTCTTTATCATCATGTAGCATGCAGGAGGCTAAGTTTCCCCACCAGTGAAGGAGCAGATAGAGAGAGCTAGTCCTAGCAGTGACTGGACCCCTGTCTCAGTAGTCTTTATGGCCTGTTCCACCCTGTTTTATAAGTCAGTATGTCCCTCACACTCATAAGTTACAAAGATTGGTTTTCACTTTTTGTGTGAAACTGTCTGACACCAAAGACTTCCTCCTCTTGGATATTACAGTGTAAGGGTTACCTACCCACAGAGAAAGATGAATGCTAATTATTAGTGATAAAGAAGGTTTCAGACAGTTTTACTTATTTATTATTGTTACTGTTGTGCTGAGGACTGGATCAAGGGCCTATTGTACACTAAGCACACACTCTGCTATGGACCTATTTCCACCTCTAGCTTAAAAGAGAATATTTTATGGTACCTATTCCAGTAACTTAAACATTACGTTCTTTCTGGGTGCCTTAGGACACAGGGGCCTCAATATATTTTAGATCAATTCATCAGTTTTCAAGACAACTTCAGAATACGTCTGCCCAAAATTTTAAGACCTTGAAGTGAGATAGGAAATTCTCTAAGATTCCTCTTTTCCATCTCCCTGCAGGTTTATGCTGGGAGAATAACAACATGTTCATAGGAAACCCATGCTTTATCTTCTCTCTTCTTTTTATTTTATAAAATTCTTTGACCACTTCTTCATAGGAAGTTTATCAACGAAGGAGCACAGATGGGCCTTTGTGGTATACTTGGTTACACTTGCTAAAAGACAGGTTGAGCGGATTAGGTGGGCTCATGAGCATGCAGGGCTAGCCGGACTGAAGGGAACTCAGAGAAGAAATACAGAAACAGCACCAACTTAACGTCTCAGCTTTTTGTTTTTTTAAAAAAATTATTGTTTCTAATATCTACTCACAGGGTCAAAACAGCAAAAGAAAAAATTCTTCCCATATGCTTAGCTTTCTCTATGTCAAAGTCTTTACTGTCATAAAAAAAATATCAGGATCTGAGCCCCAATAATAAGAAGAGGAGCAGACTTCTTTTGTTTTCAAAGTGAAATTATCCAATGAGCTCAGTGCTAAGATCCTGCCCAGTCTTACAAGTGTCTTTCAGCGTGTTCAACAGAGAATACCCACGGTGGGGAGGAAGCACAAGCTCTCAGGTGCCAGACAACCTGGATTTTGATCCTGACTGCTAGCAAAAATAGCTATGTGAGAAAAAAAAAATCCACCAAAGAAAACTTTTTCCTGACCATTAAAAAAGAAAAAAGAAAGTTGGCTAAGTGGCCTGGAATGTGGTGCTTAACCTTGTTTTTAAATGTTGTAAGTGGGATAATAATAACAATCGCGTGATTACCTTTGACTCAATGGCTACGCGGTAATTCTCATAAATGCTAATGTGTCATTATTGGAAGGCCAGGATCTGGAGTCAGGAGTTTGACCCTTGTCCCTGTTTCTCTCAGAGTCTGTTTATTTAATTAATATAGGAAGGGTCTAAGATCAATTCCATGGGGTTTAACAGTTTGGAGGACCGAGACGCATCTCCCATGGTGCCTGGCACACTATCGCATAGCTCCTATCATGGCTTCTATTCCACGTTACATAAGGGAGTTAGTCCACAGTTACTGAGTTTCCTTGAGAAATAAAATATGCAAGGATAGAGTCAGAATTCCAGGTAGACCTGGACCTGCATATGAACAGGATTCACAGCGGGAAGGGACGAAGGAGTTCTGTGCTGTCGGGTATTTATTTAATGCTCTGGTTGGTTTCCTTGACGTTGCCAATACAGAAAACGATTTCAGAATGAGCACCTGGCCACCCTGTGCTTGGTGTCCAGAGACCGAGGCGCTGGGCTTCCTGGGTGTGGAGTATGAAAGAGGCCGCCTCTAAAGGTGGGGGCTTTGTATATAACACATCTGGGAAGACTCTTCAGCTTCCAGCTTGCCATCCATCTGGCTCACTGATAAACTCCAAGGATGGATTTTATCTACCTTCTGGATAGATGACTCAATTATTGAACTAATTATCTTAAAAGCATCCTGTAAGAACTCAAAGTCCCCAAATTTCCTACTTATTCCTGACTGATAAATGAAGTCATTCATAAGTTAAAAAGTAGAGAAAAGACATCACAGCCCTCCTCCTCATTTCTTAGTAAGGTTTTATTTTAGTCAAAACCGGGGTAATTACGCCATTATTAAAATGATAGGCACGGAAATTAAGATAATCTCACTGCATTAATGTAACTTTAGATATTTCAAATATATAAATGCCACCTAGACTTTTTTTTAAAAATAATTGACTTGGTTTGGGTCTTTGAATATTCTGTTAAAATAAGGTTATCATAAAAAACTATCAGATTAAATAATCCCCTAATTAACAATCTTTTTATTTTAGACAAAAAAGGGAAATGTAGTGGCATTTATTTGTATTTTAATAAATAGAGCTAAAATGGGAGCCTAATGTAGTGGTTCATGACAGAGGGCAGCTCTGTGCTTCGAGGACATTTGGTAATGTTTGGAGACATCTTTGTTGTCCTAACTCTTCTCTTCTTCTCTCTCCCTCTCGCTCTCTCTCTTTCTCTCTGGTGTTAAGCATTCAGCAGTATGCAGACTTTTCAACAAAGAATTACGCAGTCCCAGCTGGGTGTGGTGTGCATGCCTGTAGCCCTAGCACTGAGGAGGTGAAGGCAGGAGGAGGGTAAAGTCCAGGGCAGGTTGAGTAACATAGTGAGACACTTTTAAAAAAAAAATCAAAAAATGTGCCAAGGTGGAGAAAAATTGGCCTGATTTCCAAGCTGTTATAGTTTGATATCTTTTTCTCAGTTCGCTTCGAAATGTATTTGAGAATCTCACAAAAGGCCTGTTTTCTCCCGAAAATCCATATGCACATTTTCCTATGTAAGTTGGGAGCAGGATCCTCAGGTCCCTCCCATCCTTCAAACCCATTCCCCAGGGTCTACCTTTAGACATAAGAATTTTCACCAGGGTCTCAAAGCCATTGTTTAATGAAGATATAAGGGCAGAATAAACAAATAATATACACCCTGCCCCCTCCCCACACAATATCAAGCTGAACTGGGTTCAGTATGTGTGACTGAAGCTCCAGAACCCATGTTTCTGTTCTCTAGAATGTGTCTGGTGCTGTTTACCCTAAACAGCGTCGGTGTGATAATTCCAAGCTTGTGTAAGAAAGGGTTAGTTATATAGAAGACACTGTGTGTTTATAAACTTTCCTTCCTTCATTGTCCTTTACAAAGACAGTTTGAGCGTAGCAATAGGAGACGCAATTTCCCAGCCAGCTGACCGCGAGCCAGCTATTGTTGAGCACCGCCAGTGGATATCGCAGCTCTGCAAAGTACATGTTTGCTGCTCTTTGTTGCCTTGGAAGGCCGCGAACGGAATATCAAGGAGTAAAGGAAATTCATTTTGAATTTAAATTTTTCCTTTCTTTGCATGGATTTTTATGGTGTTTTTTTTTAAATAGGACGATTTCTGGTTATTTAAGATGTATTTCAGTAGAATTCATATGCAGATGTTTAATAAATACTGAATTAGCAATGATGCTTGTCAACTTGAGTGGCAGTGAAAAGGGGCATCTATAATGCCACTTGCTGGCTTCAACAGTTCATAGGAGGGAACTAGAGAGATGATCCCAAAGAAAGTCTTATGAGGGGGTATTTTTCCAGGTAGGGTGGATATTCTTAGGTTTTCACGTGTCGGAGATATACATGCGGGCATCAGGTTCTGGTAATTCCCCTAGACTGTCTGAGGAAGAAGCTCATGAGCCCAGCTCAGTCTTTATGGGGAAATTCTGGAAACTAGAATATAGCCAGGAAGTTGAAATTCTCAGACATTTGTATAGAGGTACATTAACTTGCCACTTGAGATTCTTTTATTTTAAAGAATTTAGAGGAGCAGGTGTCTCCCTCCGGAGCCAGGTTCAGTCAGTTTTCCCTAGTACTCAGAGTCTGCCTACTTAACTCAGATCAACTTAACCCCGCTCCCCCTTCGTGGACTAGACTCCACTTTTTAAAAGAGTTAAAAAAAGTTTATCTTATTTTACATCAGGTTTTTTGAGATAAGCTTTTGCTATGTGACTGACCCTGGATGGCCTGGGATCTCACGTCCTTAGCTCCCCATGTGTTGGGGTATTCTGAGTGAGTACAACTACACCCAGCTTCAAATATCGCCTCAAAAACTCACCTTCTATGAGTCTTCAAAATTTGTTAACAGTTTTCAGTGGAGACCAAGTCGTCCTCCATGCCCGCCCACCGAGAACGTTCTGTGTCAATCTGTCTTGACCTGTGAGCGACCCTTCTGGACTCCATAAGATGTCACCATGAAGACCTTTCCACTCCGCATGCCAAGTACTTCCCTTCCTTTCCCTTTGTCCCAAGCTCACAAAATGGCATCTTGGCTCAACTATTTTTCCTTTTCTTTTCCTAGCCAGGGTCTCTATATGTAGCCCTGATCATCCTGTAACCTGCTCTGTAGACCAGGCTGGCCTCAAACTCAGAGATCTGTCTGCTTCTGCCTCCTGAGTGATGGGATCAAAGGCGTGCACCACCACTGCTTGGCTTTGCTGGGCTCTTAAGCCCGTGCCTGCCATCAAGCAAGTGATCTTCCCATATGCTTCAGTTAGAAAACAAGGCGGCTGATGATTGCGTTCTTTAGTTTTTATATAGCAATAAAGTCAACTTTGCAAACACTTAAAGGAAATTAAAAACCCTGAAGCACCCCTGGGACCATCTCATGCAGACCTCAGAGGCAAATCCAAGTGAATCACATCTCTTTCTATTATCAGGGATCCTCCTCCTGGGAAAAGTGACACGGCCCCAAATGCCCTTGCTTACCATTTTCCCAATCATCATGACATATGGGCCCAGATACTTGTTCACGCCGAAGATGTCCAGCAAACGGATGTACCAATAAATGATGTTCACACAGTAGATGACCCTCCCATCGCTCCTGAAGGGCTGGTCTTGAAGACGGAGGATCATTCCCACCGAGAAGAGAAGGATAGCGATGAGGTCGGTGACATTCCAGTATTCCTGCAGCCACACCCTCACCTTCTGCAGCAGCTTGCCAGGTTCTGACATCAGGATCTGGAAGGCAGCAGAGAGGGTTAGGCCTGCTTTCTTGTATCCTTTCAGCTCTGCTGGGAAGCGCTCCTTCTGTGAGCTGATGGAAGGGGTTATGGAGACCTGTGTCTCGTTGAATACCTGTATGCTAGGGATGCATAACTGAACTAAACGTAGGCAATCCAGATGTGCACAGATGTAAACAACAGGTCTGATTCTTGGGATGGTCTGGCAATGTTAGCCACTGCAGGCTTTTGCTATAACATTACATAGATACCCGTATCACCTCAGTAAACAGCCTTCAGGACTGAGTAACATGGACCATTCCTACAGGACACCTCCATTCCTCTCTTGTGTCGCCAAATCGTCGCCCGAAGTACAACCCCATTAATGACTCATTATCATCTCCGTGATTGCCACTGAATTCTACGTCCCATTACAGGCACATGGCTGCAACGGTCTTCTCAGGACATATCTGTTGTCATTATGGCCACCTGCCTACCGCCCAGTTTCTAAGCAACACACAGCGAGCTCTTTAAGGACCTAACCCTTGATGTGGTTGATGAATACGCAGTTGATGGTGTAAGCAAAGACTCATCAGGGTGGACCCTAAGCGGGGGTTCCTTTAATTACCAGTAAATTATACCTCATTTCTTAAAAAAAAGGAGACGAGGGACAAGCAACCCACGGTAAGTATAGACTCAGACTTTCTGATGGCTTTCATTATAAACAGACCAGAAGCCAGGCTCCTCCCCGCGGCCCACTTCACAGCCCACTGCATTCTCAGTCCTTCTGCCCCCATAGCCACACTGATGTGCTTGGAGGCTTAGCAAGTTCAGCCTGCGCCAGGACACTCGCGTGCGTAATTCCTTCCCCTGGGGACTTTCTTCTCCAGGAGTCTGCATGTTTGACTCCTTCTTACCCTTAAGCTCTTTCTTTATTCAGCTGTCCCCTTCCTAGGAAGGCCTCTGTTGACCATTCCAGCTGCAGAAGCCTCCATTGCTCCAAAACACAGATACCTGATTCCCACCACTGACTTCCTACTTCAGCGGGTGTGGGGGTTGGACCAGGGGATTCGCTGTCCTTGTGGGCTCCCAGCGACCATGTTGGGATATCTACTGTACTACCTCCCCACCAGTATCTCCTGCAACTGTGGCTGTCCTGTCAGCTCCTCAGCCTCTAGTTCCATTTTAACTAGATACAAATTGCGCATGTGCATGGGGAAGTAGGGGCCGGGAGGATGGGCCAGGCCTTTGCGAAGCCCACCCACCTTTTCTCGTGGAGAGACGGGGGAGAGAGAGGATAGATGAGAGAGACAGTGAGGAAAGAAAGAAGGGAAAAAGGGGGGGAGGGAAAGCCCCTCCTCTGCCCCATCACTGCTAAGCCAGCCCGTAGCACAGGCCTTGGTATCCAGCGACACAGTAGAGCATCAACGGGGGAGTGGAAAGGGAAGAGCAGTTCAGATGACCGACAAAGTTTCAGACCCCACTCTCTTCTCTATCCGTAGCATACCAAACAATTGCTCCATCTTGTTTTCCAGACCCGTAAAGCGGGGATGGATGCGATTAAGGCTGTCACTGACCTCACAGACTTGGGGGAGAACTGGGTGAGATAATGTCTACTAAGGCCTGCTGTAAACAGCTCCATACGATTAAGGGTTTGCTGCGGCTGGCTCCGGTGACTACGAGCAGAAGTATGTGGAGAACAGAACGGGACCGGCAGCGCATGAAACCACAGCCTTCCTGGTGTTTGCCTGGGAGGCCCGGAAGCATGCGAACTTTTCCACGCTTCCAGGATCTTGCGTCTGGGTTCCCGAGGGCCTATGTGCCAACCACAAGGAGGCGGGAAGGCCGATGCTTGTGGGAATTGTCACCCACTCAATAGCCGAGCCACTCCTTCCAGAGTTCAAGGCAGGGACATGGGGTGAGAGGCGACCTCACCAATTGCCGAGAAAAAAGATCACGCACAAAAATGGCCACGACCCCACTTCTTACATCTTCCCCCAGCAGCAAGCACTTCTCAGCTGACCCAGCCCTGACCCAGTATCGGAAGCCCCACCCTGCCTGCCGTGACGTGCAGCTTCACAAGAAATGGACGGCCAGGCCTGGAGGTTGCTGGCAGCCTGCCCGCTTGGCAGCTTTTCTAGAACAGTCCGAGGAGTACAGGCTGCTCCCCATCTTCTTCCAGCCTAGTCCCTGGACAGCCTCCAGTCTCCACACTCTAGTCTTTGCCTCCTCTGCTTGTGATGGGGAAGGAATATGTGGCTGGGTGTGAAGTCTCGGGAGAGCCAGCTGGCACTACACAGAGGCAGGGCCCCTGGCGGGAGCAGTCTCAGTTCTCAGAGCGACACAAAATCCCAGGCAAATTTATTACTGTTTTTTTTTTTTTTTTTTTTTTTTTCAGTTTCCAAGTCCACTGCACTGCTCAGGCAATGGGAGGCACCGCCAATGGTGGGACACAGGGCAGGCTGGAGCAGCACAAGGCGTCTCGCTGCCTCAGTCCTTAGTCTCTAATCATTTGGGATTTGTGTACCATTCCCAAGCTCTCAGGAGGGGAAATACTAATTAGAATCAAAATAACGCCCACATAGCCCCAGAGAAAGGTGCTGGCGAGTTTTTTCTTTCTTTTTGTATGTGTCTGTGTTTAAATCTCAATGCAGTCACATTTAATGGATATGGCATCTTTCTTCTTTGAATGTGTCTGGGTGATGAAGGTGGGTTTGTGGCCCCATTGCCTTCTGTGCCCACCCACTGAAATACAGAAACCAGGATTGTGCTGGGGCGCCCAGGGCTGCACAGGCTTGACACGATCCTTCCCTACTGAAAAGGCCCCTCCCACTCACTGCAGTTTCTGGGAACATGCAGAGGAGTCGCCTCACCTTGCAAAGCCTGTCTTCCCTTGCAGGTTCTCTCTGGTGAGGTAGGAGTTTGTGGGGAGTACTGAGCAGGATTGTTGCGCCCTCTTGTGGACTGTTTCTTGACCACATAGATTTTAGAAGCGCTTGGAATCTCAGGGGCCACTGGGGTTAGCTTTTCTTCCCCCCTTTTTTTTTAATTATTTAAGCTTAAAAAACAGTTTTAAGTTCACAAAAAGCACTTTCCTAGGTGTCTCCTGGCCCCTGCAAAGACACCGCCTCTTCCATTATCAACAGCCTCCATCACCCAAAGACTAGAGGTTCTATCAGGGTTCACTGTTGGTAGGGTATGTTCTATAACATTCTATAGATTTGAATATGTGTAGAATGATATGAATCCATCACTAGTGTAGCATACAAAATACTTTTGTACTCTTAGAAGCTCTGGGCTTCACTTACCATCCTTCCAATGTCCAACCCTGGGCAACCATCAATCTTCTTACCATTTCATGGCTCCCCCACCCCCATAGCTCCCCCATCCCCATAGCTCCCCCATCCCCATAGCTCCACCATCCCATAGCTCCCCCTCATCTCCATAGCTCTCCCTCATCCCCATGGCTCCACCACCCCATAGCTCCCCCATCCCCGTAGCTTCCCCCATCCCCATAGCTCCCCCCATCTCCATAGCACCCCTCATCTCCTTAGGTTTCCCCAGGGTTTTATATAGCTGGTGGAATCATATAGAATGTATCCTGTTCAGACATTTTTCTCTTTGTAACACATAGCTAAGTTTTCCCATTGCCTCATAGCTCATTTCTTTTTAGCAATGAATAAGACTTCCTGTCCCCAAGGTTAGCTTTGACTTCAAACAAATCATAAAGGAGGTGGCATTTCAGTGACTCCTCTTAGGCTAAATGGAATGAGGTGACAAGGGACCAGAACTGAGTTCCATCCTCCACGGTGCTTCCAAGGGTTGAAAGGGCTGGCGGGTGCCCAGTGTGGGGGTGGTAGACACCGAGAAGGAATCAACTCCAGGATAAACCGAGGAAAGGAATACATGCAGTGTGTCATTCCCCTCTCCCCCGTGCTGCTGAAGTTGTTTCTCTCTGTCCACCATGAGAGTTCTGTGTATTGAATGCAGGTCATTGAGCTTGACGGTAAGCTGCGGGAACACATCTGGAGAGCTTGATACTGGATTGGTGGACAGTGTCCAAGGAGACCCCAAGTAAGGAGTTGAAATGGGAGTTAAAAATAGCAAAATTTAAAAAGTCATTTTCATAGAGATGAGAAGAGGGAGGTGTAAATGATATTGAAGCCCTCTGGAGGATGTCTTGGGGCAAAAGGCATGTGAGCAGAAAATAGACTGAATCGCCCTAGGAAACCTCTCTAGGTTTGACAAAGAGGGAAAGCAGCAGCCTCCAGCAGCCTTACAGAGCCCTGTCTGGGGCTTAATTCGGATCCCAAGCATCCTTCTCGAGTCTCCATCCTCAGATATGATGAGCCACCATTTCCCTCCCGTTTTCTGTTAGGAAGCAGTTACCTCTCTCATCTTCTCAATTCCCAGCGTGAAGATGTAGGAGATGACGATCCATTCCTGAGTGGACGGCCAGCGCTCCATCTTCACTAACACGATGTAATTGAAGAGCATCAGATAGCCGATGTATGCCAGCTGCAAGGGAATACAGTACAGGAGTCTAACTGCAGAGGCCTGGGGGCTGCGCCCTGGGCAAGACCACTGCGTGGCAGCATGGAGCAAGGTCAGTAAGCAGGACAGGGAGTCCATGAGGAACTGAAATATAAAGTTTTAAATAACAAAGAATATTTATTTATTTTCTATGTGCATTGCTGTGGAGGTCTGTGGACAATTTTCAGAAGCTGTTTCTCACCATCTACCAAGTTCTGGGGCTCGAACTCAGGTCTCTGGACTTGATGGCAAGTACCTTTACCTGATGAGCCACCTCTACCTCAAACATTTTTTTTCTTAAAGGCTGTAATAGTTAAAATAATTGAATATGCAATGTTTGTTTTTTTTTTACCTTTATAGTGTCTATGGGACCCTAGGACCTTGCTTATACCTTTGTGTCACAGTGTAAGAATTTGTGTGGCAATCACCAGCTTGTGTGTGTGTGTGTGTGTGTGTGTGTTCCAGTGGCTCTGGCTTAGAAAAGAACCTGGCCTATCAGGGCTCTTCTTGCTTAGGTGTAGACACGGCTTTCCATACTAAGGTGATACAGTATATTTTTTTTTCCCCAGAAAGATGCCAGGTAGGATAATGCCCACCAGAAGGAAAGAAAGACACATAGACTACTTAGAAGTTGGTAAAACCACAGTGTAAGTAGCCTGGATTTAGTCTTAAAGGACCCACACCCCTGCTCTCCTGAGTGGATGTTTTTGACCTATAGTGGTTGGCTTCTTCGGGAGGGTTTTGACTTCTTTCCCACTGTGGACTGTCATCCTTCCCTACCCTGCTCGGAACATTGGAGTTTGTTTTCTGTTTCTTTGAAACAAAACAAGAGAAAATAAATCGGTTTACAGGAAGGCGTGGGGTGTGTGGCCTGTTGTGGATTTAATTCTCTGGAGGCACCAGCATCTGGAGTTTGAGTCCTGATGTGACTGGCTGGAAAGCTAGATGTGGGGAAACAGTCCTCAGGGCCCAGGCTTTTAATCTGCTACTGAAAGATGCAGTGATGTCATTGTGGAAAGAAAAGAATTAGTGGTGCTCTTGCCTAAGTAAGTTTGCCCCGAGGGGGATGGCAGACGGGCGAAACACCCCGCTGGCAATGTTTCAAGTTGAGCAAGGTACTGACTGGCCTCAGGGGCTGTGAGCAGGGACCCAGAGTGAGCTGACTCAAATCTGTATTCTTTGGCGGTGGTGTGGCAATAAACAGGACAACGCGTGGGCAGGAGGATTGAGGATTTAAGATGCTGAAGCCATTGGGTGACTTTGGGGCTGTAAAGACAAGTTAGGCTGTAGAAACTGCAGCCTGGTGAGGAGATCAGTGAGATGGGCCCAGAGAGATGTCTTGTGTTCCAATGGGCTTCTCCCTTCGTTTTTACAAACTTTTTAATAGGAGTCAAAGGTACCTCTGACATTCCCATTACACTGATATACATGGCCAGGCCCGACTGTGGCACAGAATTCCCTTTCTGATAAGTCAAGACCTGGACATGGTAGGCAAACACTCTACCACTGCCAGCAACTTCCCAGCCAACCCTTCCTACGACAGAAGTAAGGCACATGGCATCTGGAACAATCAGATTGTGATAGTGAGCGAGCGCTGCAGCTGCCGAGGGTTAGCTTAACTCCTCCACCTGGGCGATTTGATCTTCTCTATCCCCATGACTACTCGCACATCAACCCAGGCCTAGGTTCCCACAGCTCCCCGCTTCAGAACCACTAGTGAATCAGGGAACTTTCTCATGGGAGAGGCATCCTTTAAAAATTGGTTTTGAGTGTGACTTGGCTCACAGGGTTTCAGGTTATGATCAAGAAAACACCGACATGCTCTGCGGCCCTTGTATACCTAGCTATGAAACACAAAGGAGGGGAGTCAGCTGGTGAGACTAACACACTCAATTTCCTTCTGCCTGGCATCTCTTCCATCTTCCTGGGCACTTCCTTCCTTTTATTGAATAAAACTCTGTTGCTTTAGAGCAAGGTGGAGTGACTCTTAAGTGCCCTGCTTTTAGCATCTTACGAAGTTCAATGCAAAAACGTTCCAAGGCTTTGTCTCCTCTTGTCACATGTTGGCCCAGTGACACATAAACTCATTTCTTCAGAAATTCCGTGTCTTAGAACTTAAGTAACTTTACTAACAGGGCCCACCCTCTGAACTCAGGTCTGGTGTATCTGGAGGAAGGAAGGGAGGCAGAGAAACTTGGAGTGGCACTTGGGTTTAAGTTTCAGCCCGTGCATGCCATCTTCTGTAAGTCACTTAACCTAGGGCCTCTGGGGAAGAGCTTGTCACTGCTGGGGAAACCCACAGTGCACATCATGTGCTCTGACCTGAGGTCGCTTGTACCTTGAACCTGAATCTTCTACAGCTCAAAACTGAGAAAGTTCTCTGCATAGACAGGGCCTGTGAGCCAATTGGATCTCTGCTTCCTTCTGTCTTGGAACTGAAGGGGACCCACCTGCTTATCTGTTCCTTTGGAAAGCTGAGATGAGATCCAAAGGTCATAGGGGAGTGAGGTGGGTGTTCCCTTTGGGTAGAGTGTCAGAGAGGAGGAAGGGACACTTCTGGAAATCAGAGCGAAGTGTTCTAACAGAACGCAGGTCACAGCAGATGTGACCATCAATCTGATGATGAAGTTTATTGTTAAGCATTGTTGGGGTCTCAAGAGCTTGGCATTCATTTCCAGAAATCCGTTTACCTTGAGGCTTGGGTTTTGTCAACATTTGAACACAAATTGCTGGAATTGTTTAAACCTAACTGGGGGATTTAGTGTGACAGATTTACCCAGGCTAACCAGGACAGTTGTAGAAGACCTAAACCCAAATGACAAAGATACAGCTCCCATGGTGGTCTGAATGACAAGGGCACCCATAAGTTCATATGTCTGAATGCTTGGTCTCCAGTGAGTGGCTCTTTGAGGGTTCAAGAGACTCATTCTGAGCTTGCTCTTTCTCCTCCTACTTGCAGATCCAGATGGGAGCGCTCTCTCTCTCTCTCTCTTCTCCCTCTCTCTCTCTCTCTCTCTCTCTCTCTCTCTCTCTCTCTCTCCTCTCTCTCTCTCTCTCTCTCTCTCTCTCTCTCTCTCTCTCCCTCTCTCCCTCTCTCTCTCTCTCTCTGCTGTTCCTGCCACTATGCCTTCACTCCCTCATCATAGATGCTAACTCTCTGAAGCCATAAGCCTACTTACATGCTTGCTTCTCTAAGTTGCCTTGGCCATGGTGTTTTGTCATAGCAATAGAAAGGGAACTAAGATAGTGTTTTAAAGTTTGTTGCAAATGATGTTCAGAGCAGTGTGCCCCAGGTTTCTGTAATCCTTGGTGACACCTGGAGCCTTCAACACCTCCCCACTACTCCCACAGAGCTGATTTAGTTGGGTCCGTGATGAATCTTTGAATTGGGATTTCTAATAAAATCTTTCCTATTGTGATAATTTAAAAAAAATGGGCTAAAACTCACTATTCTCTGTTCTGAGTCGGGGCTTTTTTAACTCTAACAGCTCATGACAATGACCTGGGGAGCTCTAATGCAGTACCCAGAGGGATGACGTCAGAGCCCTGAGGGTGGAGATCAGGTGAAAGCATGTTTTAAAAGTGATCCAGCACACGGACTTGGCACATGCGTATAATCCCAGTCCTTGAGAGGTGGAAACAGGTGATCGGAAGTTTAAGAAAAACTTGGGTGAGACCCTGGCTTTAAAAAAAAAAATCAGAACCAAAAGTGTAGTAGGTGATTCCAATGACCTTGATACAGAGGTGCCAAGGATGACAGCCCCTGACCAGGGTACTGGTGATGAGAAAGCATTTGAGGCTGAAAATTGCCTTAGTTGGGTCAACAAGGAGCAAGAGAATCAAGAAGCTCAGATGATGGGCATGCTGAACCCCACTGAAGAAGAAAGAGCCGAGACCTGGAAGGCTAATTGAGGTCAGTGTTCATCCAAGTGCTGGTTAATTCTTTATGTAATTCCTTACACCAGTGTCTCTTATGCTTTTGACCAGGAATCTGCTAACATCACAAAAGGCCACATGGCGAATCTTCAGGGTTTTGTAGGCCAAGAGGATTTTGTTTTTAATGGTCATAATTAACTTTTTTTGTTAGAGCACATGTGTGGCCAGCTGTAGTAAACACTGAAATTTGAAGTTCATCTTTCACAAACTGATTTTTTAAAAAAAAACAAAACAAAACTTATTTCAACCTTTTTGAAGAAAGGTTAAAAACAAACAAACAAAATAGGCTGGGGTTGTAGCTTAATGGTAGAATACTCGCCTAGCATCCCTGGGTGTGATGCACGGTGACACAGAATAAATGAAATCAAAATGCAAAAATGAGTTCCAGTGTGTAGACCGTAAGAGTGGAGTTTCCTCTGTGGCTATAGATTTCAAATCCCCTCCCCCTTTTTTTGGTTGTGACAACTGAGGCAGGAGAATAGAAGGAGAAGGGCGGATGTGGGCATAAAAAGGAGGGACAGCTGTTATATTGGTGAAATCATTGTGAGTCTCAGGGAGGTTAGGAATCATCTGGATCCTTGCTTACACACAGTAGCTGTTCAATAAATGATACTTTTCTTGTGGCATGGACAGTCGAATCTGGCATTGATTCCCTCTCAGAAATGTGACGAGTTTAGGACCAACACTACTTCCTCCACATTGTACTTATGGATCCAGACATTATTGTGTCTTATATCCATCAACACACTAACCTTCACGTATTATGTAGTTTTTTTTTCTCTCTCTATCTTACAGATGGACAGAATGGGAAAGTAACTTTTCTGGGGTCACACAGCACAGAGGGACACAGGTAGACCTATATGTCACCTGCCTCTTTTCAGATCACATGCAGTCACAGCTACACAACTACGCTGCTTTCTACAGGGCAAGCTTGAAAGAAACGCTATAAAAAATGTAAACTGAATTTTTGGATGTATATTATTTTGAGGTGGGTATGATTTGGGGATGTCAATACATTTGGGATTTTATTTCACTAAAATGAATATAAATGAGGCATGTGTGTTTTCATATTCTCTCATATTCTATTAAAAATCATCCTTTAAAGTAGCGGCTTTTAACTGGTGGTAGTTTTCATCCCACAAATGCCTGGAGACATTTTATCTGTCATCCTTAAAGGACAGAGTGTGGTTCTGGCATCTGGTAGGCACAGACCAGGGACGCTGCTGCATGGCAAAGAAGGATCCTAGCTAAAATACCACCAGTGCCGAGGCTGTGAAGTCTTGATTTAAAGCCAGTGTTGAATACTAACACCCCGGACTGCACAGGAAGCCACGTCCACGGTCCTTTGAGCCCCTCTTGTCCTCAGACCTAGATTGCCCTGTTGTTGACTCAAATGACTGCCCTGCAGCTGGTGTGAGAAAGTCTAGGAACACAGAAGCTTTGTTCTTCAGCTGGCGTAGCTCCAGCAGGCTGGGCAGAATCACTTTAAGCTCCAGGGCTCTCAACCTGTTGGTCATGACCCTTTGGGGGTGACCCCTTTCACAGGGGTGACCTAAGACCACCAGAAAACACAGATTTGTAACAGTAGCAAAAGTAGAGTTATGAAGTAGCCATGAAAATAATTTTATGGTTGGGGGGGTCACCACAACATGAAGAACTGTATCAAAGAATCACAGCATTATGACAGTTGAGAACCACTGGAAAGTGTCACTGAAAAGGAAAAGGGAACCGCAGCAATGTCCCTATCTATGATATTTGATGCCATTTCGGGGACAGCCTGTGACTTTGGAGGCAGGAAGTGCATGTAGGGTGTGATTCCTGGAGAATATTTACCAGGGCTGGAGGTTTTCGTGCTTAGAGCTGCACGCTGTTTAACTGTGCCCGAGTAAGAAAGTGTGATTGATGTCATTACCAAGTTGGCAGTTGTTACTTATAGATGCTGTCAGTCTCTGGAGGTGCTACATCTGACCCCCCCATGTTCCCCTGAAGCCCAGGATGAGCATCTGTAATCGGTTACTCTGTCCTAGCTCTTCTCCATGCGGCAACACAGGAATGTTCTGGAAGAGGACATTTGTTTGCATGTGAAACTAACTCATACACATCGCACATCTGGTTCTGTTACTTCTCACCCCTGTCAGTTCCTTTACCTTCTGTGGCGAGCCAAAAGGCAGTCTATAGAAGCTGCCCCCCAAGGCTCGCAGATCTTGTGAAACTGCAGGAAAAACAAGGTCACAGGGCTTCCATTCCTGCATGCGTGGTACTTAAAGTGCTGCTCAGAGAAAGCCACACAGGTACCCGAGACAGGACCGCCCACCCTTGAGGCTAGCCTTTTAGAAAGGGGGAAGGAAAATGCTTACAGTGTAGAACCAGAACTTCACAATGGGTGCATTGTAGAACTCATAGATTTTTCGGCCCACGGGGATTAGCCGGTGCCTGCTTTGGACTTCTTCTTCATCCTTCTTTCTGGATGATTCCCCATTGTTTCGCCCCAGCATCGCCTACAGTAGGAGAGAACAGAGACCATCATGGCTGGGCTCTGTAGGCCGTGTTGCAGAGGAGGAGTGTGATGTGGGAGTGATTTCTTATTAATAAAGAAACTGCCTAGGCCCCTTGATAGGCCAACCCTTAGGTGGGTGGAGTAAACAGAACAGAATGCTGGGAGAAAGAAGCTGAGTCAAGGAGTCACCATGGTTCTCCCATTCCAGACAGACGCAGGTTAAGATCCTCCCTGGTAAGCCACCTTGTGGGCTACATAGAATATTAGAAATGGGTTAGAACAATATGTAAGAGCTAGCCAATAAGAGGCTGGAACTAATGGGTCAGGCAGTGTTTAAAAGAATACAGTTTCCATGTAATTATTTCGGGGCATAAGCTAGCCATGTGGGTGGCCGGGTGCCAGGGATGCAGCCTCGCCGCTCCTATCACTACAGGATTGGATGTTCATGATGCCTGAGAGCTCACAGAACTCAAGAAAACAAGACCCACACCAAAGAGTAGAAAGCCTTGCCTTTCTTATGTGTGAGTTTGTATTTTATTTGGATAAGCTGTGTAATTCTTTGAAGAATGGAAGGCTTGGGGCTTATTTCTTGAGCCTTCTTTTCTTCTACAACATGGACCCTCTGAATGAGTAGGCAGTAGGATATACATAGAGTTCTGTGAGGGATACTAAGCACTGTTTGGGAAGGCCAGGCTGCAGGAATCCATCCCAATTCTGTTACTTTCTTCCCATATGTATATGAGACATGCAAGATCTGATTCAAATTCTGTCTACACCGTGCTAGTGACTTCCCAGTCAAAAGCAGATTGATTGGGCATGTTATAAGCCATCTGAAGAGCTTGTAGTTTAGTTAGACTAGGAATATTTCTACCCATATCAAAGCATGGGCATTGGTCCCTCCATTTTAAACCTTATACGATTAGAATCACTGCTGTTATCAATTTTGTGCTAACTATGGCTACATTAACTTCCTCTTCAAGCAGATGGGTTAGGGGGAGGGTTTGAAGCAAGCTTGATCTGCAATGGTCCTCATCTCTAAGCTGCTGGAGAGCTCCATATACATGCATCCCCTTGCTGTTCATCACAACAGTAGCCATATGAGCAATAGTGATCAAATATCGCAAAAACAGCAGAATCTAAGGACAGGAAGACACACCCTGTCTGGGTAGCAAGCAACAGGATGTCCCAGAGATGACTAAAGTGCCTTACAGTGAAGTCTTGTAGGCTTTGGATGACATAGATGGGAGGGTGAGTTCTAAGGTGAATGAACACTCAGGCTCTGTGCGCTCTCTGAGACCTACTTTCTTTAGTCCTATGGTCCTTGGGGGCCTATGCATTAACACCTGGCACCTAATTGAGTGGTCTGTAAATACTAGGTAGTCTTCAAAGTGAATGCGGACCTTCTTAGGTACTCTCACTTAAAGGTCCCTCACCAGAAAGGTGTGCATGCTGTGAGAATCTATAGCAGGGCAAAGTATTGGCTTTAATTCTTCCACATTGTTATAAGACATAGAAGGTTAATTATACAATGCTGGGAAATTGAGTTTTTTTTTCTTTTCTGCAATTATGTGGTGAATGGGTGACGTATGCACATATGTGTGCACGTGTGCATGCAGAGGCCAGAGGAGACTAGTAGGTGGCCCACTCTGTCACTCTCTAGTCCCTTGGTGCAGGGTCTCTCACTGAATCTGAAGCTAGGTGGTGGCCAGCATGCCCCAGTGAGCCTCATGTCTCTGTCTACCCATTCTGGCACTGGGATTACAGGCACGTGTGACCACAGCTGGCTTTTTATGTGGGACTGGGGACTTGAACTGCTAAGTCAACCCCCCTAGCCTGAGACTCAATAAGTATGCATCTATGATAAGACATACATTCTTGCTGCTCAGAATCGATAAGGATTTGGGATAAGATACAGCACTTGGCACTTAAGTTTCAAATTAAGAGATCTAATTACAGCAGTGTTTGCGATTTGTAGTGAAGTTGAGGACATAGATAACTTCCACATAACTTAGTTTTCAACCACCTGACACAATACATACAAATATAAGTTTCAAGTATTTCAACGATTTCTTCATAGCCAACTCATTGAACTGTATGACACTCACAGATGTTAGGATATATTCTCTGGCAAGCCCGTTATGCTCTGAGACATGAGAGCCATCTTCTACAGTGACTTTCTGAAGGATCATAGTTCCCAAAGCCCTTAGTAGAAAAGGGACCCTTCTTCTTCTATACCCAGATACAGTGAGCATCATGCAGCTTCTGACTGTCCTCCCAGGAGGCTGGCTGTGAGGGAGCCACACCATACTTGATCTGGGACACTTGGCATTCCTTGGAGGCTCTCTACTCTGGGGAACTAAGTCCACTAAGCAGGACCATCAGAGAACAGAAAATAATTCTCTCTTGCCCTTGGCAACTGGCTGAGGTTGATAATGTATAACAACAGCCAATGGAGTATGGATGCTTGGATTCTAATCTCACCTTTGCAACCAACCAGCTGGCTAATTGTGGGCAATTTAATCTCTGAGTCCTTGCTTTCTAATCTGGGAAGTAGAGCAATGTGTACCTGATGGGCATGATGTGGTCCCATGGCAAAGGCAGAGAGAGTATGCAGTGCCATTTCAACAACATAAGCAAACATTTGTTAATGCCTAGTTGTTAGACTAAGTAGCTTATGTGTATATGTCTAAGTGGTTTATTCTTAAATCACAAACCACCCACAAGGCAGACAAAACTCTGATCCCACTGATGATGGAGTGAAATTGTGTTTAAGGTTACATAGCAAGTAGGTGAAGGGGCAGGATTGTTGGGGAATATTATTTGAAGTCATGTTACTTTTGTTTGTGCTGCATTTGTTTAACTCTGTGAAGCTGTGGCTCTTTGCCTGTCTAAAACACCTGATTGGTCTAATAAAGAGCTGAACGGCCAATTGCAAGGCAGGAGTAAGGATAGGTGGGGAAGGCAGGCAGAGAATAAACAGAAGGAGAACAGAGGAAGAAAGAGGAACAAGAGAAAAAGGAGAGGAGGACATCAGGGGCCAGCCACCCAGCTACACAGCAAGCCTCAGAGAAATAAGTGAAGAAAGACATACAGAAATAGAGAAAGATAAAAGCACAGAGGAAAAAGGTAGTTGGGATAATTAAAGTTAAGAAAAGCTGTCAAGAAACAAGTTAAGCTAAGGCCAGGTGTTCATAACTAAGAATAAGCCTCTGTGTATGATTTATTTGGGAGCTGGCCTTCCAAAAAATCCAAAAGAATAAAACATCACACTGCACAGGATTCTGACTCTAAAGCACATACTCTTTACCTCTCTGTTGAGACAGCCAGGAAGAACCTAGAATCAACACTAACCATGATTAAAAAACCATTTTATTGAGGCATTCAGAGACCAAAAATTATGACATGCTCTACAGGGAAGGCAGTGTGCTGCTCTCGCAAGGCAGGACAGGGCAGGTGCCTACCTAGGTTTTTACAAAGATCTTGGAACTGAAACAAAAATTGCCTTTTCATCCGGTGAGCAAAGGGTCATATCTATCGACAGATCCCCAGGAAGGGGTTTCTAGAAAGAAGCACTGCCTATGGAGGAAGATTGTCCCATGGTGGTCCCAATGATGAGACTCATGCAAAGTCTTTCTGTCACCTGAATCAACCCAATTTTCATCTTCTCCTCTTACAGTTCCTTCTGGGTCATTACTCCTAGAGCCAGCGGCTAGGGTGCTGAGGGAGGCTGAGGTGCTACAGACCTGTCCCTGTGGAGCTGCTGTTTGATGCAGCTCTCCCAAGCTATGAAGCCCTGTCTGTCCCTTTAATAGCACAGGCACAGGCTATTTTTAGCCTTTGGACACAAGCCAGTGGCAGTCATGTCACTTGGGTGGGGGCTGCGGGAAGTGCTTCCGTGCACAGCTGTCTTGTTCTCGCTGCAGAACAAAGCATCCATGTTCTATAATTGTACCAGGAAGCGCTAATAAAAGCTTTCCACAAAGCTCAAAATTCAATTAGTGATGGGTTTGTGACTTTGACCCTGAAGACAGATACAGTCTTAGCTTCTGACCAGCAGAATGGCCCCAGCTCAGCGAAGCTGGCTGCTCACAGCTCATGGCTTCCCTCTCCCTCTTGCCAGTCACATCGTCATGTTTATCAATGGATGCTTGCCTGGAAAATTGAGGTCGCCTGGCTTTGAATTTCACTGATTTGTTCTGTAGCCCCATTGGCAGAAGGACTTCACATACAGTTGGATCTTATAGCCCTGCTGTTTGTGCACAAAGAGGAAACTTTTATGATACTGTAATGTCAACACTTACATGATTATACCTGGCAGGAAGCCGGGGAACCCTGATCTCAAGCATTATTGAACCTTAACAATATCAATGCGTGAGTGGCTTGGGAGAAAAACGGCGTAGTGTTTTCTTACTGTTAGCTCCATGTCCTCTTCATCTTTCTCCTTTGTGGTCTTCTCTGGCTCCTCTGGTTCCTTCTCTTGGAGGTGAATTTCTTGGGCCTGAGTCATATAAGGCATGTCGTCTTTGTTCTTGAACTCCAAGCTGAGAATTGAAGGAGGAAGTAGAATTCCCAGAATTACCTAAAGTAATAATAATGATAATAATAATAATCACATTTAAAGGATTAAGATTAGGGTAGTTGCTTAGAATCAGAGAACCTGGGGTGTGGCGTGTGTGTGTGTGTGTGTGTGTGTGTGTGTGTGTGTGTGCACATGCATGCTCATGCACAGGTGCTGTACTGGCTGAACATGGATGTGGAAATCTGGAGATCTAAACATACAATAAGGAAACACTTATTTTACTCAGATATATCTTGTCCTATTAATTCTAACTTTATGGGGGAAACTGAGGAGAAAGATCTTATTCAAAGCAAAGGCAAAAAAAATAGGAGATTTTCATTTGATTATTAGACAGAACTTGGCCTTGTAAAATCAATTCATACACATACTGGCATTTATTTGTGAACTAGAGTTGATATGCTAGCTGATGAGCTCTGTCAAGTAAAGCTTTCTGGATTGACCTTGAAGGCACATGTAGAAAATCATTTTATCTACTGTAGAACATTCTACTGGCAATAGCCAATGTACAAACAGGACCATCCCTTCCCACAGATATCTTTGTATTCGTGGAGAATAGTTAGTCTCCTTGCGCAAAAGCCCCAGAAAGGCCAACACTGCATTAATCTTATGTGTAAACACTGTGTGTGAATCTCAGTGTCAGGATGCTCATTACATGTTTTTTTTTTTCTCATGGCAGAGTGATCTCCTCCATTTCAGAGAACAGTGTCCTCTCCAGCTTCTCTCAATTCTAAAATGGTTCCAGCGCATAAGGCTCCCGAAGATGAGCCTCCTTGAAGATACTGCACCAAGGGGAGGGACTCAGACAAATCCTGAAGGAACAGTGGGCGTCATGCCTCCGCAGGGACAGTCTTGTGGTCCTAATAGCTTAAGGGACTATTGGGGACTTAAGACCAGTCAGGAGAAAAGGACCAGAACTGACTGTAAATTATAGGTGTTTTGGGAGGCTCAAAGGGCATGCTGGCAATCTTTGTAGGGTACAACGACCTGTCCTCGGAGCTCAGAACCAGCTTGGCTCCCCACCTGAGGCCAGAATTAGCGGTTACTAGCAGCAGGACTCTGGGATGTAATACATGACCTACTTAATAGAACCATTTTTGTAACTTCAGCTCAAGAGCCCCTAAGAAAGGCGCAGTGAGACAAACAGTTTAGGTCCAGTAAACAAGTCAAGGAGGGCAGGATGCAAAATTGTGGTCTAAGTGGATCTAAAGTGATTAGGTGTATCATGAGCGACATGGTCATGATGTCACACTACATACTAGCAAATTTGTTAAGAGAGTAGATGCTAGAAAATCCTACCTCATGCAAAAAAGGGTAATTGCGAGATGATGAATGTGCCAATTTGCTTGACTCTGGTAGTTACTTCACTGTGTATGTTCAAGCATTGTATTGGCATCTTCAATACACGTAATTAAAAACTGGCATCATAAAAATTAAACCAAACAAACACTCTCCCATTTTTCTCTCATCCATTTCTCTCTCTCTCTCTCTCTTTAAAAATTCTTTTATTTTAATGTTTTCCCTGAAAAATCACCAGCAGGATTAGAGGAAGCAAAATTTGGGCTGAGTGTGTCACTCAAAGCTAGAGAGCTCTCCTGGCCTGTGTGGGGCCCCGCGATCTTCTCTAAACCTGCCAACGAATAAGGCAAAAGCTTCAGCCCAACTTTCTCTTCTCAAGAAAAAATCATATACACAGTCTGTTCAGTACCCAAGAGAACTACTATCTCTTGGGTTTCCCTTAGTTCATTTCTATAGCTGTCACTATACACCTTTTGGAAATGGGTCTAAGTTGTGTCGACTGGCCTGGGACTCGCTTTTCCTCATTTGAGAACAGATCAGGGACTAGGGATGTATCTCACTGCCATGTGTGAGGTTCTGGGTTTGATTTTGAACCCACCTCTCCTGAGTAATGTTTTGATGTACACATCTATCTCAACTTTAGTTCAGTTAAAATGTCTCAAGCCCATTCTTGATATGATATAATACAAGAGAGCCTGAGTGGGACCAGAAGGGTATTTAGCCTCATAGGGCACTGAAGGGTGACTTAGATGAGACTCCTGTGGTAGCATGATTGTGCAAGAGTGTACAGTGTCCCCCCACGAAACCTGTGTGTACTCTGCATCTTTGGACTTGAGACAAGATTCTGTTTTTGTAGGCCTTAAGATCTGGCCTCAAGACCCCCAACCTAAGACCTTTGAGGGTAGAGGCAGAATAAGCAATCAATGACTACAGCACATGTAGTCTGCCTTCTTAAATGTGACAGACCCCAAGTTCAAACCCTTAACTCTAAACGAAAATCACATCTCTAAGGAGATTATAATGAATAGTGATGGATTAGCATCACCTCCTGATATAAGATAACCCTTAGACCCACCATAGATCTGTCTTAGAAAACTCCAACCAACCCTTGGACGCTATGGGCAACAGATCTCTTTTGGGTATGCTGACCTTGAGGCCCGAGTTCTTGCGCATGCGGAGCCGGCCCATCCACATGTCAGTAAGTAACATCTGGCTGCACGTGTGTGCAATGAAGTCACGGTGCTTGGCAGCCACAGCCAGCTGCAGGCACGTGGCATTGCTCCAGTTCTTCAACTCATATGTTAGCAGTTTCATGGCCAGCTGCTCATCCTGCTTATAGGACTGGTCCAAGAGCTCCACAGCCAGCTGGCCAAAGTCCCTGGAAGACAAGGCACAGGAGGGTCTTTCAGGCCAACTTGGAGACTTCCATGAACAAAGATGAGCCCACTGTTCAATCATAAAAGGTAGCTTGCTGTGAGGAGTAGCTGTTTCATGTCAAATCTGGTGGCTCATAAAACCACTCAGTCAACATCCTTTAAGTGTTTGCTAGATACCATGTCTAGAACTGAAGATGTTAGGGCAAAGCTGGATTCCTGCACTCAAGACCCCCAATTCAGGGTATGTGAAGGTAGAGGCAGAGTCAGTCATTAGAGTGTAATGTGTCTTCCTAAACGTGACAGACCTATTCTTGCCAACTATATATGATCTCAGCCAAGTTACTTAGATTCTCTGAGTGTTATCCTTAATTGGATGAAGTACATGGTGATATGACCTGTTGCTTGGGGCCGTTGAGAGGATGAATGAAATCAGTGTAACCTCTCTGTACCTCTATGCAGTGTTGTGCACAATAAGGGTAAATGACTCATGCCCACTCTCTGTGTGCTCTAGTGCAGGGACTCTGTTACCCCGTAAGTTTTGTGGAGCCCACACTTCTGGCATTTGGGATCTACCCTTCCTTCTCTCCCTACCCTCCTCACGAGTGACTGGCCCAACCTGGAGTTGTGGTTCAGCTCCTGGGAAATGTCATCAACCATGTCATTCTCAGAGGCCTCATGAGCCATGGCTTTGCAGAGCTTGCAGGCCACCAGGGCTTTGGCCATGGCCTCCTCTCCGTGCTGCCAGAAGAACAGGGCCATCTTCTGCCTCTTCATGAGGACAGCCCACACCATCAGCTCGTGGAAGGGGAAGGGGAAGTGGTTGATCTCGGGGTCATCCAAGTCAATGTCCACCTCCTCTTCACGCTTCTTAGTTGTCTTTCTTCCTCTCCTCAAGGGAATGTCATCCTGCAATTTTAGAGAAACAAAGGCAAGCTGAGTTGAAAAATGAATCAGATTAATTCACTACATACTTTATGTATAGCTTCCATTGGCTCAGCTCTAGAATCATACTGAAACGAACCAGACCAAATCTTATCCTAAAGAGACTTGCAAGCTCCTTCGGGCTAATTTAAAAATAAGACTTAATAAATGCATATTCAACGACCAACATGTTTGTTTATGCTTTACTTTAAACAGAACATTTTCTAAGCTGGGGATGGTGGTGAATCCCTAAAAGCCCAACAACACCTTGGAGTCAGAAACAGGAGGATGGCGAGTTCGAGGTTAGGCTGGGCTACATAATTAGAGTCTGTCTTAAAAATTCCAAACATGTTTTCATAGGTCATTTTCTTCCTTCCTTTCTTTTTTTGTTTCTTTACTATTGTCCATTTCTTCTTCCATAGGAGTGGCTGTCTATATCTCATGATGGACAGCATTATCATGTTTCTTTTTTCTCCTTATATTTTTTTTCTGAAAAAGCAAGGATATTCTATACTTGTGTTTTCACATAACAACAATAAACAATGAACCAAAGATGGGAACAAAACTGCTCCAGTTTCTGCACCTCTATTAGATGCATCTGTGAAATTCTTTGGATCTGTTGGCATTGGTAAATATTTCTAACTGATTTTGCCTGTGGAGTTTATGTACTTGGTTTTCAAGTTAGTATTTACAATTGGATTTATTTATTTTTGTTTTGCCCTCACTGCTAACATAAATCCATTGTGGAATTTTAAGAGCTACTGTGAACTGCCACCATGGCACTTGGAAAATCGTATTTTAGAATCATGCACTAAGCCTTACTATTAAAATGAACTCATATATCTTTTAAATATGTGCGAAAGAGAATAATCGACACTAATAATTTGAGCAAACACTAACCTCCATTCCCAGCAGTTTCAAGGCTTTGGGCTGTTTAAAAAAATGTTGTGAACAAGTTAGATCTTTTTTTCATTGAGGTAAGAAACGAATTCTACTATATTGCAAATAAGTAATATAAGAACTCTACGGTACCATATAGCATGAATTCTACGTCACTAAGTAAACAAAATAAAAGGAACATGTTTTTGAAAAGACTGAAGAGAGTTAGAAATGTTGTGACTGTGGTGAACCACAGCAAATTAGAAAACTGAAGAGATAAACTTGAAGGTTTAGAATGACTTTTGTGGGTCGGTTTCTTTCCCTTTCCTATGACCGTCCTACTTCACCGGCTCCTCTAGGATGTACAGCATTTGAATAAATATTTTGGTCTGAGTGTTTTCCTCCCCACCCATCTGCATCAGATGACGAAATTCTAACTGACAAGGTGGGTATTTGGGGGAGAGTGTTAGATTAGGACAGAAGATGCCTTTTGGAAGAAAGTTATATCGTTATCAGAAAGGCTGATGGAAGTTGGTTGTCTTTTCCCATGTGAAGACACAGATAGAAGGTGCCACCTAGGAAGCAGAAAGCAGGCCCTCTGCATATACTCAGCCTAATTGTACCTTGTTCTTAACCTTGGAGCTGTGGGAGATACATTGATGTTGTTTATATGCCCCTTAGCCTCTGGTTATTTTGCCACAGTAGTCAGAGCAGAGAAGACAGATGAAAAATGAAACAATCAACAGGTCAAACCAGATATTTCTCAGACCTCTGGAAAACTTCTGTTATGCAGAGTGTTAGGGTATAATTCGAAATGTTTGTTTAGATGCTTTCTTTGGCTATGGCTATCTTCCAGTGTTGCATGGCAGAGCAAGGGCGTGCGGGCCATCATGGGTGCTGTTGGTGGCAGGAGTTGCTCAGCGGCACGGAGGGCATCCCCACACATGGAGTGGCTTCCTTGGCCTTGCTGGGTGTTTGTAAAATGGGCACAACTGAGGGTACGGAAAAAGCCACTCGGGAATTTGTATTTAAGAGTGGGAGAACACAATAACACCCATGGGCCAGGGGTACCAATTCCATCTTCTAAGTGCATCAGGGCAGTGGGTGTCATTTTGGAAGCTACCGAGGACATAAGAATTAGGAGCTGACAGTTCCTGTAATTTGATGTGATTATATAAGGTAGAATATCTTGACTCTGTCTCCCTCCTTTTCTCTTTTGGCTTCTAAAATTACTACAAGTCTACATTTTTGTCTTTATTCAAACATTTTGTTCCCCCTCTCCTGGTTTTCTAATAGACCCACAAAATATTTTCCTCAGTGGAAAACTTTGTTAAAAAAACAAAACAAAACAAAACAAATAAAAAACCCCACAAAAACAAAAACAAAAACTACATAAAGGGAAAAATCATAAAACCCAAATATTAAGAAAATCATAAATATTTTTTTTTTAAAGAGAGAAAAAGGGAAGAAATCTCATGCCCACAACCATCAGAGTCAATTGCTCTCTGGGTGTCTTTTTGGGGTCCTAAGGGTTCTCCAGCCCCTTTCAGGGAGTGAAGTCCAAGCAATATTTATAGTAATACACGCTTTTGAGGGTCCTGGCTTATGAAAACACTAGCGACCCAAAGCTGTGGGGACCTTAGCTTGACAGGAGGAAAGGTGATGGAGCAACTTGGGGACTATTCCTTAGATCCCAGTGTTAGGCACAAAATGAACCAACCAAACATCAAACCAAACAACCAATGAACACAAACGCAAAACAGTTTCACTTAAGAATGTCCTCAAGACGTAAACACTGTAATCATTGGCTAAATGGAGAAAAGCTAAAACTAGAAAAGCCTATTGCCATCCTGTGGGACATCGGTGGAAGCTGTCCCTGCCTAGACTTCTTTTGCCATAGTAGTTCTGACCCAGTGACTCCCGAGGAAAGTGCAGGTTTTTGCTGAAATTGAACTGCAGACATGAAAATGCAAGATAGAAAACTCAAAAACGAAGTTCCTCCCCCAATGGAAGATCATTTTTATTTGAAGGAAAGACTAGCAGAGAGACTGTAGTTATTTAGACTGTTACTCTAGAGAGGCATTTTTAGAATGACCAAAGTGGGACTGTCACCGCAAGGAAAGCAGCAGATAGAATTTGTTTGTCCAGTATTTTATATTTAATAATTTTATATTTAATAATAAATTTCAATAATTTGGATGGAAAAAGACGGGAGTGCACTTTCTGTCTTTTCAATTCGTTTTCCCTTGGAGACAAGAAGACCCGAAATCTCTCCTCCCTAGTCTTCCCCAAAAGAACCTCAGAACATGCTAGAAACTCACCCTTTTGGGGCCAAACAGATTGTGGTAGAGGGTCCGGAAGCGCTTGCGGGTGTAGTTGCAGCGGTAAGCCCCGCCCATCAGGTACTCAATCACTAGGCCAATGTCTATGAGGCTGATTCTGTAGTCCGGGGGCAGGTTTCCCTGTTAGAGACGAAGGGAACAACAGACAAACCCAAAAACACGGCATGGTTTACTAGGGGTTCATTGGCAAGTGTTCTGTAACTATTTTAGAGTAAAAATTATAATGAAAAAAGAAACATGAATGTATTATTATGCTGGTTAATTAATTCACCTTAAAATAGATCCAACCGAAACCTGGATACTCTCGCTTGGAAAGAAGACATAAGTTAAATAAGAAGATGCGGTAATCGCCGGCAATAACAGAAAATCAAATTATTTATTCAAGTCTTCAGCTGGGGAGAAAAAAACACCAGTGTAGCAGAAAGAAACACAGGCTAGACAAGGCAAGGGCTATCATTCCGCTTCTAGATGCAGGGCCCCTGATGCTCCTGAGCCTCTCTCTGACCCAGGCCTACCTCTTGTAGGCCCTTTGGGTATCCCCCCACTCACAAAAGGAAGACTCCTCTCAGAAGATTAGTGTCGCTACCAGGGCGGGGACCACTTAGAGATCAATTCTACTTAAACACAAGACCTCTGTTAGCTGGTCACATATACTGGTCCTCCCCCAACCCAGGTAAATAACAGGAATCAGGGAAGGCATTTCATAGCGTCAGAATGGAACTGTAGGAGTGTCGCTTGCACTTAAAGTGTGTGTGTGTATGTGTGTGTATGTGTGTGTGTGTGTGTGTCAGGAGAAGAAATTTTAACATTGGAATTAAAACTTTCACAAAATTAGGTGGTTTTGTCACCTTCTGTTGCAAAATAGCTTCGTTTGGGGCAATAGCAGTCCACTTACAGATCTCCAGAGTGGGATATGGGACTCTGGCAGTAGGAAATCCATTTAATTGGTTAAAGAGGGCTTCAATGTAGTCTGTCATTAAACCTACAGTTTTAAATTTTTCTTGAATTTTTTTTTTTATTTTTATATTTCCCATGTCTTTTTATAACATGTGGGGTGTGGTTGGTTCTTGGGATTTTGTTGTTGAAAGTATGTATCAGCGAAACAACAACAACAACAAAAATTGATGTGTCTGAGATCCAGCCTGGGTTGGGCTTTTGTGTTCTATTCTCAGTAGCAAAATTAAGTAGCTAGATTCCCTTCATCATCCCTGGTTGGGATAACTGCGTCCTGGATACATGTTACGTGTTGAGGATGATGCCCTGATTTGGCGTGGTCTGCACACAGCAATGGCGAGGCATCTGTATTGCTTATCCTGGGACACAACTGTTGGACCAAAGGGCAGCTTGCAGGTATTCATGCCAAGAAAGGCCAGAGACATGAGTCCCCAGGGCAAACAGCACGGGGCTAGGCTCTGTTAGCTCAACTTCGCGCGACTCTGTATCCTTTTCTATATCTCACTTTGTGTTCTAAAAATCAGAAATCAGGGACCTTCGCTCCTCAGGTCCTGCCTGCTTCTAGAAGCCCGACTGTTAATCAGCATTGACCGACTGCTTTCACTTTCTACTGCCACCCATTGGGCAAAGAGCACTGTGCAGAGTGCTCAGGGTTGGTGTTGTCTGGAGTTTGGTGTGTGGGGTTGGAGGTGGTCAAGGAAGTGAAGTGGATGGATCTGTGCTCTCGCTTCCCCTGCTCTGGAGGGGGCAGAAGGGATGAGTGCTGCCTTGAATGCCCAACAGGTTGTGACAACAGCCTCCTGAAGGAGTCTTCCTTTGCTTTGGATCTTTCCAAATTAAAATTTAAAAAATTGACACCAGAGTCATTCTTACGCTGTATGCTGTTCTTAATCCTGTCCCCACCCTGTGGGGCATGACTTTGGGAATGGGCAAAGCCTCAAGAATGAGCCCCCATTTCGTGCCTTAACAACACAGAGCAGGCCCCGAGATTCAAGTTACTTCATAGAGAGGATCGGGAGGCAGGTTGACAACTTGAGAATGTTGTCCTCATGCTCTGAACCATTTCTCGAAGGTAAAGTTTAAGTCATGCCATGCTATAAGATGTCCTTGAGAGCAGTTCAAACTCAGAATGAACTGTCTTTAGGTGTCAGCTCACGGTATGGCTGTCAGGTTTGAACTGTTTAGGAACATTGCTTTTTTTTTTCCCCTTTGAAACACATAGCAAGCCTTGAAAACAAGCTTGTTTCTTCAGGGTGTGGAAAGGCTTAAATGATTGCTGATTGTTAGGTTCAGCAAAGGAGAGTGTGGAAAAGACGTGGGGGACAGACAGGCTTGATGGGGGAAAAATAGTCACTGGGTAGGGCTCATTCTGGGGGAGCACTCAGGAAGTAAGGAGGTCACCCATGGTTTAGTAGGCTAGCGAAGTAAAAAACCAGGCAATCGATTATTTTTAAAAATAAGAGTGTTCCTACAAATTTGCATGAATTTATCTTATGGGCTTCTGAAAGTCTCCTTTTCTTATCCAAAATTTCAAAAACCCTTTCCTTCCTTCCTTCCTTCCTTCCTTCCTTCCTTCCTTCCTTCCTTCCTTCCTTCCTTCCTTTTTCCTTCTTTTCCTCCCTCCCCCTTCTCTATTCCTCCCCCTCTTTTATATTCAGCAAAACTGGTCTTAGTTCCCATATAAATGAACTTTAAATCTTAATTTCACTGTGGCCTCTGTATTCTACTCAAATCCCCCTCCTCTGGCAGGGAAGGAGCACACAGATAATCTGAAGTGTTAGCACAGTTAATTGAAGAAAGAGAAACTACGACTTAAAACATCCGAAGCCACAGACCGAGCAGGCAGCTACTGAAACGGCAGGTTACATGTTAAAGGAGTGCAGACAGACTTGAGCCGCTAGCTTAATAGGAAAGCCATGAATATAGTTGATGGATTTATGCATGAAGTCCCTTGACCGAATTGGTTTGGCTTATATCAGTTCATACTCCTGGTGGATGGAGAATAGCGATTCTTTACCACACTGTTTGTAGATTGTTCTCTAGATATGAAAGAACTTGAGATCTTGAGACTAGCTTGGAAGCATTGCTCCTCATTCATTTCTGTTGGTTTCAAAGAACAGTGGGGCTTGGAGATGACCTGATTGGCTTATGGTGATCTGATAATTACAAAATGTATCCTTGGATTTGTAGGCATCATTTACATTTAATTCAGAGATATCTCACTATCTATTATGTTTAAAGTCCAGAACTATGTTTCTAATTCATGCACATGTATGTGTATATACATTGTATTATGACTGCCAGTTAAAACTTTCCCAGAATTATATATATATATATATATATATATATATATATATATATATGCATGCCTGTAAGGAAAGAGGCGCTTATTATATTCCTTAATACTTATTATATTCTTTAATTAAAAAATTAAATGTCCCAAGATGTTGTTAGGATTTTAAACCTAGATTTTGGATCCCCCGAGTAAGTACTTGGCCTAAATTAGAAAAAGTCCTATGGGACCACGGGAGAAATTAGCTCCCAGATGTGAAACTTTCCCGTCTTTGAGAAACACCTAACAAGGAGTCTCATTTCCATACCATTTCGTCTGTGAACATAAACTGTTGATATGTGGCTCCTTTGCAGAAGAGAAGGCTATTCCTTCCTTTCCTTCAGTAGCCAGAGAGATGAGCCTTTATTGCCTGATTCTACCTCTTCCGAGAGAAGAAACTAAATACAGATGTTATTTTTGCCCTCCTCTTACTAACAGTCTGCTCCCCAAGTAAAAGGAGAAACTGTTGCTAGGCCAGTCTAGTGCGATTCTGGGTGAGCTTCAAAGCCATCTCCTCCAGTCCCTAAGTGAGCGAGTCAATGCCTGCTCCCCCAACTCTCCTCTGGTGCTTTTATTCCCGTCGCTCTGAACGGCTGCTCTTAGCTAACGGTCCTTCCTCCCACGTTCTTAGCATCCTTTCCTTATCAATCTACGTCATCTTCAAGGTACGTTAACAGCCGAGAAGCTTTAAAAAGGGAAGGGAGTACCTTAAGGATTCGCTGCCCGCCTTCTAACAAGACTCGTTACAAACAACGGCAGGAGCCAGCTCGAGGAGCTTTGGCTAATGGCTACTGCTGTAGCGGAGTGGAAACCTTCCGAGAAGAGACGCTAATATGAGAGCTCATTTAGCTGAGAGAAGCTAATGCGAGATGGTGATCATTTCTGCTCAAGGAACGATAACTTCAAAAGTCTCCTTGAAAGTCAGGCGAGACCTGACTGCCAGGAAAGGGGGCAGGGAGAACGCGTGAGTTCCAAGGTTTAGGTTGGCTGATGAATGGGATTCTGGGACCAAAGCCTAGCTATGTCATCAGAGAGCCCCATGTTCTAACTGAACACAGACTGCTCTGAGGTGAGGAGATGGTGTCATATTCATTATTTTAGAACTGCTTGAAATAATTTATTGAACCTAAGAGTTAAATGCTTAGCAAAAGAATATGCGGAGTGAGTGGGACCCTAATCACCTGAGAGTAGTTTCCAGAAAAAGTGAAGTCAGGATAAATTAAGGGAAAGCAGAATGTGTGAAGGAAATGGGTTTTCTGGAGGCACAGATGCCATGGTGGCTTGGAACCGGCTGAGGAAAGCTGGGGTCTCAGTAAAGTAGTGATTTGGGTAAACAAGCACTTTCCCTTGATGTCAAGAGTTACAGGTTTTGCCCACAAAGCTGGACAATCCTTCAATATGGCTGTGTGGAGACGGAAGGAAGGTTTGTGGTAGCAAGGAAAAATAAAGCCAGTGTTTTCAGGTGGATGTGGGTTTTGTTTTTGTTCTTACATCCTTTACTCGCTCTTAATGAAGGGCCAGTAGATTAAAATAGGTCAATTATAAGCAGCTCCCAGGCCTCTAGCATTTTGAAGACAATAGCAAGAGTTGCTTACAGTTCACTAAGGGTCAAGTGTAGTTGAGGCTTTCTACGAGATAATGTACTTGTCTCGTACTTTTGATTCTCATTTGAGAGTCAAACCAGTCTAGGACTTTCCCTGAGTCCACGATGCATGGAGAAGGAACTTAGTTCCTTGTCTAAAACCAGGAACATGTTTGGCAAGGCCAGAAAATGACCTGGGGCCAGGGCTCTGGGAGAACTGAGATTTCTCTTCCTGGGAACCCCTGTCCCCTTGAAGGACTGAGGGCATCGGTCCTGCCAAGCCTGTGGTACACTTGAAATATCCCTGGTTCTCTTTGGGCAGTTTTGCTTGTCTGGCTTCTTTCTGACTCTGTCCATTATATGATGGTTTTCTGCTGACTCTCTATTTTTTTTTCCTGCACACTGTATAGGAGGTGCTATATTTCTTAGTAAACTTGCTTGGTGTATGGCACAGCTTAAGACTGCTGGATCCCAACTTTCCTGGCCTCTGTATTTTCTGATCCTACGGTTCTCCCTGTCAGGAACCTGCCACTGAAGAACAACCTGCTGGTCCAGGTCCCTTCTCTCAGTCCTTGGGTTCTGCCGCAGTACCACAGCATGCCTATGAGGTGGGGAAGGTCAACAGTTTCTGTTTTGTTCTTTGGAGTTAAAGGTTCTGAAGCCAAGCTACAACTAAAAAAGACTGTTTGGGGCAAAAGAGCAAGTACATGCCAAGGTTAAACATAACCTTCCTATGTTCAACTTTAAATGAGAATTTTATGCAACAGGAACGAGGCTATTACAATCCTACTTCGGACAGTTTTTGTGAAGAGTAATGATTTCAGCTGGAGAAAGCCTATGTAATACTGTGTACCCTGTCACCAGTAAGCCTCAGTCATTGCTGCTTTTCCTTGATAAAGTATCTGTGATGATGTTAGCATGTTACTAATGATTGAATATAGTCCTCGCCTCCTAACTCTTCAGCCTTCTCCATAAACTGTGAACAACTCACTTGCACCGACCAGCTTAAAACAATCAAACAGATGAACATAAAGTTTAGTTTGGAAAACTGAAGTGTTAGGAGGATGGACTGCATAGACGAGCCCCCTTGTCTCTACCTCATTATGTGAGGTAGATAGGATGCTATGAGGAGCCAGCAGGAAGGCACCTCATGTGGTAAGTTACCATGGAAACTTACTCCCCCAAACAGTGTCAGGCATTTGGCAAGCTATAGGTAATGACATAAATCCACGTTGGCATGGGGGGAAAAGCCTAGAGTCTGCTATAGAAAAGCGTTACATTCAGTGAAAGCATCTAAAACCATGGCAACCGAAGGAAGGACCACAGCGGCATTGTCAGCAGAGGTGCCCAAGCTACGAAGCAATGCACATACACCGTTCTGCGATGGTGGGGGGCTGGCCGGGACATGGAGACTGGGCAGCTCATGCATTACAGGTACAGTCTATCACAGGAAGCACTCAGGACAGGGCCTCTGACCTGTGGTCTAGAGGATTCTTACCTTTTTGACATCCCTGACCAAGTGGTACAATGTATTTGAGGGCCCATGTCTCTGAAAATGATAAAGAACAATCAAACAGTTTTGCTAGTCAGGGGCTCTGGGTGACGAGGCAGGAGGGATCAGGGAGCTGGAAGGAAAGGTTCTGGCTGGTGGAGGGCAGCTCGTGGTGCTAGGCCTTGTTCTAGTTGCTCAGTTGTGTCTGTTACTTTGAAACCAAGGCTGGCTGGATTTCGGATCACATGTTCTCCAGGAAAGTGTATTTGAAGTTGTAGGCTCAAACTTTGTCAGGGAGATTGCCAGCTAGTAGATACCTGGGCCAAATGGTGTGGAAAGAGCCAGTTTCCCGGCAGGACAAAGCAGAGGGTTTGACACATTGCCATAGAAACACTTAATGTAGTTTTCCAAGCTGTCATTAAAAACTCGTCTCAAAAAAAAGCATTGGCCAGCTTTCTCTGCAAAAGGCCAGAAAGTCAGTAGTGAATCCTTGTAGACTGTACAGCCTTTCTCAAATCTCTTCAGCTGTTGTTACTGTATGAAAGCAGCTACAGCCTGTACGTAAACAAGTGATCTTGGCTAGGTTTCAACAAAACTTTACTCATGGTCACAGAAAATAAAATTCCATAGAATTCTTTTAGCAGAGGGCTTTTTACTGTGTAATCTCAGCTGTCGTCAAAATCACAGCCCTCCCCCCTCAGCCTTATGAGTTCTGGGATTACACACAGCTGCTGCTCTATCTGGCAGGATTTCATAAATTTTAACATGTCATCGAGTATTGTGGCTTTCTTTGGTTGTTTCAACCATGAAATATAAAAGAAAGTCATCGTTAGCTCCCAGGCTGGGCAGAAATAGTGGAAGGGCTTCATATTTTGGTGATAGTTCCCTGGCATCTGACTTAAGGGAAGGTCATAAGCAAGCTGGGGAAAAAGAGGTCAGTAAAGGGTATGGATGTATCGAGGCTTAGAATAAAGTAGATGAAGCTGGGTAGTGTTGACACAAACCTTTAATCCCAGCACTTGGGAGGCAGAAGCAGGTGGATCTCTGTGAGTTCAAGGCCAGCCCGGTCTACAAGAGCTAGTTCCAGGACATGCTCCAAAGCTACAGAGAAACCCTGTCTCGAAAAACTGAAAAAAAAAAGTAGATGATTTGTTATTCTGTGGTCTTTCAGGAGTAGGGATGCTGAGTAAAGTACAGAATCCCAGTGAAATTTGACTTTCAGAAGAGCAATGATGCCCCATGCGGTACTGGGAATCTATCTATCTATCTATCTATCTATCTATCTATCTATCTATCTATCTATCTATCTATCTATCTTCAGTCCTCCATGCTCAGATGTCTGTATTTGCTGAGGCCACCACTGGATTGAAAACATTTGGGTGAAATTGTGTGTGTATTGAATATGTACAAATAGTTTTCCACAGTGGTTCTCAACTTTCCTAATGCTCTGACCTTTTAATACAGCTCTTAATGTTGTGGTGAACCCAAGCCATACCATTATTTTGTTGATACTTCATAGCTGTAATTTTGCTACTGTTATGAATCGTAATGTAAATATCTGATATGCAACCCCTATAGGGGTCACCACCCGCAGGTTGAGAAACACTGCCTCAGAAGATACAGGCTAATAACTGTTTGGATGGCGTTCATCTCGTAGTGGGTATTGTACAGGGGAGCGCAACGTTCCTGGTTTAGTTGCTTTGTTGCTTAGCTTCCAGAAAGAGGTTGTTTTTTTAAAAAATTGGATGATGTGTGTGGGTTCTATGCAAATCGGATGTCATTTAGATGAGGAATGTGAGCATTTGAAGGTGTTGTTTTCTTCCGTGGTAACTCCTAGGACAGCTCCTATGCCATATGAAGGATGACTGTATTTATGCTTTCCTGAAAACCAAATTCTGCTGGTGTGCTGCAGCTATTGGCTAAATCTGACAACATGACCGCAGAGCCTGAAACACTAGGAATGCTCTGAGCTTGAGGCTCCTGCCCCAGCCTGGGTGTGCACAGAGGGATGGCAGAGCTTCCCGGGACGCAGCTTTCTCCTCTTTACAATGAGGAGAGTACACCGCTTCTTCTGATTGGGCCACTTGAGGATTAAACGATGCAATGCCTCCTTAGAAAGTTCAAAAACGGTGCTCAGCTTTCAGTAAGTGATAGGTAGCATTAGTGCTATTGTGGCCATTCGCTGTCCCATAATTTTTCTCAACACGGTACTGCAGCTGACCACTGTCGGTTGACTGGAGTAATGAAACCTGTTGATCTAAGGTCCAGGACCAAGGTTTTTCACAGTCTTTTTGGCTTTAAACCTTTCCACCCCAACTCTGTCTAATTGATGAGTCCTGATGCCCAGGTGTATTTACTTCTCACGGGAAGTCTCAGTGATTTGAGGCCAGACAAGCCCGCAGGGAAAGCAGAAGCCTGGGTCGCCTCCGTCGGACGGCTTCCCTCCTCTAGCGGACTGAGATGAAACACATTGGTGTTATCTGTCTCCTGCATCTTGGTGAGGAACTGTCTATAACGCATTGCAAGCACGGTCCCAGGACAGACTTTGTGGCCAGTACATGGAAAGGAAACGTCTGAGAAGAGGCTTGGGGTTAGTTACTGGATTCTCTCTATTGTTTCTCAGAGACTTAGGACCTTGGAGAAAGCACTCCTTAGACCCTGTCTATACTTTACACTTTCGGGACCGCAAAATTCATGTTGAGCTTCATGTCAGTACAGCAGTGTGAAGAGGTGGGACTCTAGGTGATTGGGTCACAAAAGTACCTACTTTGTAAGTGGAATTGAGGTCTAGGCCAACAATGGTTCCCATTCTCGTACTTCCAACCTTTCTGCCCTAAGAGGACTGACTGTGTCTGTCTCTTGTAGTGGATACATTCTGGAAAGGGAGAATGGCTCTCACGACGTGATGAACCTACTGGCCCCTTGGTCTTGACTTCCAGCCTCCAGCACTGTGAGAAAGAAATTTATGTTCTTCATAAATTACCCAGCCTCAGGTATTCTGTTGTAGCAGCAGCACGAATAGACTAAAGACCGCCTCAGTTTTCTCATCTGTGAAATGGCAAAAACCAGCATCAGTTCTTTAAACTTGGGTGGCTCTTTTGGTGAATGCCGCTGCAAAGAACCACAATCACCATAAGACATTTTTGGACTCCACGGTATTTTATACTGTCGTGAGAAAAATGGACTTCATCACTCTGAGGATGACAGAATGATACAGGAGACTTAATCAGCCTGCTTTGGTGCGAAACCAACCCTCTTCTGCAATATTTGTCTCAAACACCCCTGAGGCTTACAGAATCCGCGAGCTCTGATCGACAGAGACTTGCTGGTGGTTCTGTGTTAGAATCTGAGAACAGTGGCCTCGGATGGTCACATCCCCTTTTGCCTAAGACGCTGACAACTGAGCAGCTAGAACAAGGCAAGTCGTGGTGACTTGGCGTCTGTAGGTCGTCCAGGTGCCAGGTAGGGCATGGGAGGAGCGATCCATGCATTACAGGAGAGACAGGAAAAGAATCACAGACATGGGCGCGGGGGCAAGGCAGGAGAAGGTAGACAAAGAGAAGAACGGGAAGCTGGAAGGCATCTTAGCTTGGCCCTACCGTGTTGTACAGTTCCTCCAGTCTGGAGATGGTGAGAAAACGGTGCATGCTTACTCCATTCTCGATGAGTAATTTTACAAAATCCACTCTGTCCAGAACCAGGGCGTCCAGCATGGCTTGCTCCAGGGACCCTACCTGTAATTTAAGACCTTCAGTTAGTCTGCCTAGAGCAGAGAAGAGCACTTCCTCCGTGCTAACCCTGAGGGCTTGAAACTCATTGATGGCCTGTGAAAATCTCCAGCAATACCAGAGAGAACAGGTCCCCGCCTCCGGCTCTCACCACCCCCCCTCCGGCAAACACCCCCACTCTCCCGGCCACGCCACTCTTGGACTTACAGATCTAGAAGCTACTTTCTCCCCTAAATCTCTTACTCTGGAGCTTCAGGACCCCAGGTTTTCCTCCTGACAAATTCTCTGGCTTCTGTAATGCCTATGCAGGCAATGCTAGACACTCCTCCCCTCCCTTCATTTTCTTCTTCCGTAGGCTCTGAATGACGGCCCTGGCTGACATAAGGATAGGAATCCAGGTAAACAGAGCCTAGGTTCCAATGGGCATGGAATCTCTGGGTAGAAATGGACACTCCAGAGACAAACCGGGGCCACTTAACTAAAACAATGTATTTTCTAGATGGAGCACTGACTGGAATTTGTATTCGTTTTGCAGTTTTCATTCATTCATTCTTTTTTTTTTTTTTTTTTTTTGTCAACGCCCAGATTCCTTGACAAATATACCCTCAACTATCAGTCCCTGAACACCGTGAAGACAGGTGCTCAGCTGTGGCCAGAGCTTCTGGGGGTGGAAGGTTTGGGGAGCCTTACTTCCACGCGGCTGCTGGGCTGGCACCCGTGGGTGGGTGTGTACATCCCATTTCCCAAATTCTTATTTTTAGCAGCCAAGCAACAGAAAGAAAAAAAAACCACGGACAGTTATATAAAGCTTTGGTTCTCTTGTGCCGGGTATAGGGCAGACCTGTGTTCAGCCACCAGGACCAGATGGTACCTACACACAGAGGCCTGGCCCAGAAGCAAACCAGCATGAGTGCCGACATTTGGCGGCAGCAGCTTCCTCCTTCTGCTCTCCTGAAAGATAACCAGTAACATACGAATCCTCTCCTGCCTTTATGTTAACGCTGTCTTATCTGTGTCTTTAAAGATAGAATAAAAATAGGATTTGCATCTGAAAATTGCTCAGAAGAGCCAGGGAAAGGTTGGTGGTGCGCCTACTTATATCTTCCACTAGGTGGCAGGATGTCCCCAAACACGAGAAGGGCGCCCAAGCCCCGTGTAGCTCTAAGCAAAGGGTGATGGCTCCCCCCGCCCCATCCGCCCCAATTTTCTGAGCCTCTTTCAGAGGTTCCTTAAATACCATTGCCAAGCACGTGGGCTTTTCAGGGGTAACGATGTATACTCTACCGGCCACTGTTGCCCGTAAATAAAGATCTGACTGCGAGCGATGTCAACTCTGTTCCAGGCTAAAGCCAAGCTCAGTTGGTCTGGGGCAGATGCATTGGCTCCTGTGCAAAGTGGGAGAAAAAAAGGAGGGAGAGAGAAACAGTGGTTAGCCATGCCAAGAAGAGTCTCTCATGCCAAGAAGAGACTCCTCCATGGATCCCTCTTCCCCAAGGGCAAGCTAAGGAGCTGTGTGACTCCATTGATATTTTGGGGGAGGATCCTTCTTTGTCACGGGGCTTTCCTGTGTACTGTAGAAAAATGTCATTATTTCATTCATTCATTTATTCACCATCTGTCTGTCTATCTATTTAAGACAGGGTCTCAATATGTAGATCAGCCTGGCCTTAAGCTCATGGATATTCCCAGCTTGGCTTCCTGAGTGCTGGGATAATACGTGTGTGCCTGGCCCTCATTACATTTCAGTCCCCAACAGTCAAGTGTGGCTAGAAGCAGAGATGACATTTGTGTCTCTACCGAAGGCTCTGCTGTGACAGGCAGTCTGGATGAAGCATGCAGTCCACACACGCAACCCTCAGCAACTGTTTTTGTATCTGAGCACAGGTGCAGCCTAGAAGGCAGTAGGAATATCTTGCATCCTCTGTCACCCATCTTGTGGCTGGGACCTCTATAAGTTACTCTTCTGTCATATTTGAAATGGGAGAAATAAGAATTATCCTGTTTTATTCAAAGGAGATGCTGCGAGGCTGAAATGTGACCCTAAGAGTGAATTCACATGCCAACGGTTTTCCCCCCCTACACCTTATTGACATCCTTGTATGGAGGAAGAGGCCTCACTGCATACCGGTACATTTTTACTCTATTAGCAGGGGAAGCAGTCTCCTCTGAGTCAGAGAATTTGAAAATTGGACATATGCTTTGCAAACTTTTAGGGCTTTCTCCATGTTGTGATAAGGAATGTTCCAAGGAATACTGGACATTGGTGCTTGCTCTCTGCGTTGGACCCGTGATGATGCTCAAGTCTAGACGTGCTAGAGTGACGTCAGGGGAAGGTCACCCAGCTCCTAACACGGAATAACAGAAGCGTCCATTATGGTGCAGTGAGATTCTAGTCAGAGCCAGTCACTGGAAATTCTGCCCAACTGGGAAGGTTAGAATCAACAGAAGGATCCACCATACTATGAATGTATGTGACTCTCACCTGTTGCCACTTGTCAGAATTACCAGGAGATCTTTACATTATCACTACGCCAGTACCCATACCGATTTAGAGACATTGCTTGAAAAAAGTGTCTTAAGCCCTCAGGTGTTTCGAATGTGCAGCAGGGGCAGAGACCTGCTGGCCCGCATGCCTCTTTTTACGTCTACCCCATGCCTTTTTCTTCTGGACTCTGCAATATTGATGCTAAGACTTAGGCAAACCGGACTGGGGAGATGTGAAGTGCTTGCTAAGTAAGTACGGGGACCTGATCTCCATGCCCAGAAGAAACATGAAAGCTAGGCATGGTAGCTTGTGCCTGTAATCCAGTCCTGGAGTAGTGGGGTGACAGAGACAGGAGGATCCCTGCGGCTTGCTGGCAGCCAATTTAGCCAAACTGATGCTCCAGGTTTAGTGAGTCACTGTCTCAAATAGGGACTAAGGAAGATAGAGAGAACTAGAGAAAGGTAATGGAGAGGAGACGATGGAGAGGACTAGAGGAAGATGATGGGGAGGACTAGAGGATGATGATTATGGAGAGGACTAGGGGATGATGATGGAGAGGACTTGAGGAAGATACCTAGTGTTGACCTCAGGCTTGCATATGAACACACATACACATGTGTGTGTACAGCACACACATGAGGGAGGGAGGGATGAAGAGAGAGAAACTCTTATTTGTTTTTAAAAAAGAAAAAAAACTATCTTTAAAAAAATATAAGGAGTGACAAACTCCTTAAGAAGCTTTGGGTTGTACTCCCTTCCCAAGTCTGAGCCTGGTGCCCGCAAGTGGATGGGTTTAGTATACATCATATTCTTGGAATGAATTGATTATTGTTTGAAATAACGCCTATTAATTTCATTTACACAGATTTTTCTATTAAGAAAATCTTTTATCTTCTTAGATAGCAACATGGATTGCAAAACTCATGCCAGGGTAACTGAAATATGTGAAAATGTATGTTACTAAGTTACAGAGGAAAAAAAAAGTGAAGGTTCCCTGGGATTGATTTTGGAAGGTGTCATTTTATAATTGTTTCTTATTTCCTATCTTTTAAAAGTCTTTTTAAATTTTAATTGACTTAGTAAGTGTACATTTATGGACTATTGTGTAACATTTAGACACACGGACACTGTCTGTATGGATAAAATCAGAATCACAGGCAGAGACCATCAGAGGACATTTGTGCAAGTGTGCACTGAGACCATTCAAAATTTCCTTTATTATCTATTTAAAAAATATAGGTAGTTGTCAACCCTAGTTTTCCTATAGTTCTACAGTACAGTTACTACAATTAACAGGCTGTGCCCCTGAATACATTAAACACCTCACTCCCTCCTTCTCCCCGACCATTTATCTTTCCACTTCTGTGATATCAATGTTTAGTTTCCAAATCTAAAAGGGAACTTGCAGTATTTGCCGTTGTGTGCTTAATTAATTAATTGTTTTCACTTAGCACAGTGTCCTCCAGTTTCATCTGTGTTGCTGCAAAGGGCATGTTTCTCTGTTTCTTTCTGGTGAATACTATTGCATTCTGTATAAAGACACCATATTTTCTTTAGCCGTTCGCCTGGTGATGAACATCTGGGTTAAGTCCCCGCCCTGAGTATCGTGAATGGTGCTACAATAGACATGAGAATGTAGATGTTTCTTTGCTCTACTGATTTCATTTCTTCTTGATGTACACCAGGCCCTGGGATAGCCACATCACACAGTCGTTCTGGTCTGAGTTGTCTGAGGATCCTAGCTACCATGCTGTTTTCTTTAAAATTTTTTTAAAAAGATTTATTTATTTTGTTTTATGTGTACAAGTGTTTTGCCTATCTATACCTTGCATATGCCTAGTGCCTGTAGAGGTCAGAAGAAGGTGTCAGATCCCTTAGAACTGGAGTTATAGAGGGTCGTGTACCGTCACGTGGGTGCTGGGAATTGAACCTTTGTCCTTTATAAGAGTACACGTGCTCTGATATGCTGAGCCATCTTTCAGCATCATCCATGCTCTTTCTTTCTAAATAAATTCTTTTTAAATAAAGATTATATCAACTTAATATTTGTCCGGGAGAGAGATATCTGGGGGGGGGGGGGGGGGAGAGGGAGACACAGGAAGAGAGAGGAAGACACACACACACACACACACACACAGAATTCACTTTACTTTTTTTAGCTGGTCGGCTGGTCATTGAGAACATGCTATAATGGTTCAGTCATTCCCTGCATCATTTATATGTCACAAATCAGCATGCTGCCCAAGTCAATAGTAGCACAAGCCTGAACAGGAGACCATGGAAGAAGGAGCGATTGAGGTCAAAGTGAGCTACAGGCCTGAATGTAATTAGGTAAGTGTCAAATAAAAACATGAAGTCCCTGAATTTTGGATTTTCAAAAAATTGAAAATGCATCACTCAAGAACCGTCCTGGGTGACAGTTTGAATCGGCACAAGGGATGAACCACCCTGGCTGCCTTAGGACAGTGACAGTTTTAGCACTAAAAATTCCTTCATTCAGAAAGATGCCTCAGTCCCAGGTAAGACTGGATGGCTGCTCGGGATGTCCTTAATCAGCTGTGCACTGGAATTTCCCACAGAAGTTTAATACACTCTTGCCTCAGATGCATCCCTAGAGTTCCTGCTTAAATCTGGTCTTAGGCACTACGTGGTCTAAAAAGCTCCCCAGGTGATTCATATGGGAAGACAAGGTTAAGACCCTCTGGTGTAGGTAATATACACTCATTAGTTTGCTTACTTTTCACTCGTGTATTTTTGCATGCCCGCCCAGATGACAGACATTTTGCCAGTATGGACACCAAGATGAATCAGGCCGAATCCTTTGTCTTCAGACCTTACAGTCCGGAGAGAACGCTCTAGTTTAATATAGCAGCCATGGGATTTCCCCGCTCAGCATGTATTTGCTGAATAGATTTGTTTCCAGGAACCGTTTGAATTTGCACAGCTAATAGTGATCACCAAAGCTGTAGTCACCCTCTTAATGGAAGTTGCCGTGTCCTAGTCAGTGGTGGGCCAGTATTCGGAAAACATGCAAACCTGTAACAGTGAACCTTTATAATGTGATTTGTGCTATAGGGACCAGTGCCGCTCCCAGCATATCTGTGGCCTGTGTCTACATAAACAAATGATTGTGTCAGTACTGCTCCAACTTCCCAGTCTTGCTTGTTGCCATGACAATATTGTACCAGCCAGCTAGAGCAATCCATTGGCAGGCTCCCTCAATAGGAGGGCTGGAAAGTGTCTTTGAGTAGCCTTGAAGGCACAAATATTTGAGTTCTTTGGGCTCTCTGGTTGACTCCACATAGAAAATAGAGAGTTGGAAAATACCTTGAGGAATTAGAAAAAGGCCTGAATTCCATTTAGGTCTTGACTTGAGCTCAGGGTACTCACCCAATTGCCCTGCTTTCTGGGATGGTAGGTGGGAGGCCTGGGTGCCTTTGAGGAAAGCCTTTGGATACAAGGTGAGGCTGAATGGCGGGAGGAGTGGCAGAGGTATAAGGATGAGAAGGCAGGAGGCATGTGAGGCCATCCAGAAAGGGAAAGCGTCGACTACAGTGCCTTAATGTGGGCATGAGTACACGTCAGTATAAAATGTCAACATTATGATCCAATTATTTTATCTTTCTGCAGGAGGCTGGTGACGTTGTAAGTGGACAAATTATGACCACATAGAGTTCTGAAGGATGAATTACTGGACATTTCAGTAACAGAGCAATGTATGAGGAGATGAGGTATTTAGCTCACTTCTACTGCTGTATTAAGAGTTCAGAGCAGTAGGTAGTATGTAAAAGGCATGTCTTAGTCTCCCTGTGTTAAAAGACAATGCCAGAAAGTGGCAGCTCACAAAGAATAGATTTTTTTTTTTCAACGTTTGGGAGGCCTGAAAACCCAAGATCAAAG